AGCAGAGTCTTCGAGCCAAAGGTGAAGTCCGTCACGATGATCTTCGACTGATGTCCGTTCAAGCGAATGGTGCTGGCATACTTGGGGACGGTCAGAACACCCACCGAAGTATTAACCTTCAAATGGAATGGCTCATTCGTCGAGATGGAGGTGTTCGAGTGGAAAGTAGCATAGAACGCAGCATTCGTCTCCGGATTCCGAAGTTCATAAGCCCTGACAGCGGAGTTGTCAGTGTACTGCGTTCCATTACCAACCAGCTCCGTTATGGTTAGATCCTTAGCAGAGCGAGTGAACAATGCCAACAATTTAGTCTCATGGTATTTCGACCAGATAGACCGGTCTTCTGAGATCGGTGCCGAGTAATCGTAACTGCTAGCCGTCACTGGCGCAGCAATAGAACCGTGGTTTTGACCACCGAACATCATGTACAAGGACATTGCTGTCACACGCTGCCCGATGTTCCAGCGGTAGAACAGGTTGGCAAAGTCATCTCCAATATCCCCGGGGCAACCACCTTCTGGTCCACCCCAGGGATTGTACGAGCCGCCTTGGAACTCGGGCATGAAAGCGGGCATGCTGGGCTGGGATTCTTGGAAGTAATCATGGTATTCTAGAACCTGGAAGGGGACGTATGCTCCATTGGTGGAGGTACACTGGCTGATATCGCAAGTCCAACACTAATACACAAGGTAATTAGCTTTTAATGCTCTTTCTTTTCTTTTCCCCATCTCTCCCACCGAAGAGATAGAAATTCACATACCGAAGGATACGAGTCCAAACCAGCGACATCAACATTCCCACCCGCATCAGACCAGTCCTTCCCCCACGAGTGTGAGCCCATATTAGGATCATTCACGGTCAGCGGCAGCGTAATACCGTTCTTACGAGCATTGGTCTTGAGCAGCTCCATGTAAGCAACGGCCGTCTCATTCGGCACACGCAGGGAAGGATCACCGAGCCACTGATTCCCGTACTCGTTTTCAATCTGATAAACGATAGAGTTATGGCCATTAGTCACCTGGTAGCGACTAGTGATCTCCGTCACTTCGGTAAAGTACGGTGTCCATGCATTCGTATAGCGGGTATCATCATTGCGGAGGGTACCGTACTCACCCGTCGTCAGCCACAATGGGAAGCCGCCAGCATTGGCTTCTGCGTTGACGTACGGACCGGGCCGGACGATGATGTACAAGCCCAATTCCTTGGCGAGCTCGAATATTGGGGTGATATCGCGGGGGCCGGTTGAGAAGTCTACTGTTGCGTTGTTCGGTGCGTGGTACGCCCAGCTGGAGTAGAATGCGAAGGCTGTGAAGCCGGCAGCTTTGATTTTCTCAAGGATGTCACGCCATAGGGCTGGTACGGGGATGCGCCAGTAGTGGAATTCGCCGGAGAAGATGAAGATGCGTTGACCGTTTACCTGGAAGCTGTAGTGATCCCATTGCACGATGGTGTTTATGCCATTATCATGCAGTGGCCATTGAGTGACGGCTTGGTCGTCTGCTTTTGTGGAGGCTCCGAGACAAGCTAGGAGGACTAGCAGGAAATTGAAGATGCGCGTCATTTTGGGTCGTGGACCGCTCTTTGACGAATGCTTTTGAGCATTGCCGGGGTGGCCATGATTAATTTATATTTGTTTTCTCGATCAGCCAATTGATTTTAGAGTAAATTCAGTAAATGCAGTAAATGCAGCATTGGTCAGGGTTCAAGGCACGGATGTTAATTTTCCCTTTCGTCCTGGAAATTGTGGAATCTCCGGTGCTTGGCCGGTGGTTTTTCCTCCAACGGGATTACTCCGGATGGGCGAGGACGGGATACAATATTGTTGTAGACACATGTAACTTGACAATGTCTAGACTGTGTTTTTTTATATATATATATATATATATATATGCTGTCTTTTCATTACACAATAAACGGGTCTGTGATAAAGATATACAAAATAATATATGTTCATACAGCCTAATAATAACAATAATAATAAAGAAAAAGGCCGAGAAATACAAAGACGCTGGAAAAGCAAATCCACCTCCAGCCCCTCTATGAAACACGAAACACGAAACACGTGATAGCCAAGTCCGGGGGAATAGTCCGGGGAGAAAGCTTTTCTCCGAATATACACCGGGCCGAATCGGTAAGTGTAAGGCTTGCGGGGAAGGTGAACACAAAACAAAGCTATCGAATATCATAGCCAAGCATCAAATAGTTTTTTATAAACCCCCAAACTCCAAATCTATGCGGTATAGGAATATGCCAACACTTTTAGGGTTGCAATTTTAAGCATTGTTATCCAATACCCCGAATGGGTTTTGGCCCTTGGTGCTCGGGCTGCTGGAGGGAGACTCCTTCTCGGCCTTTTGCTTCTTAGCTCCCTTCTTGGCGGGAACCTTGGCAAAGCCCTCTTCGGACTCCGACCGGCTGACCGAGGCCGAGGCAGTCTTTGCCTTGGAAGCAGCAGCCGAGCGGGTGCGGATCGGCGAGTCAGGAGTGACCTTCTCAGCGATCTTCCGAACCTGAGCCTTGAGAACTTCGTCATCGGTGGTAACCTCGCTGTTCTCGCCCTCAATGGCAGCCTTGCGGATCTCGCGGCTCAGACTCTTCAGAGCATCCATGCCGGCCTTTTCAGCGGCCTCCATGTGCGTGGGCTGCTTCACACCGGGGTCCTTGCGGTTCAGGTAGGAGCGGACGAAGAAGCGCGCGAAGAGGTAGGTGAGGGGAAGGAGGTAGGAGACGTTCAGCCAGATGGCGAATGCCTGACCGGTGGTGTCCGCACAGGTCACCATCTGCTGGGAGTAGCCAGATTGCTGGACAGGAGCAGCGTGGAAAGAGGTTCCTACGTTTTCGGCAAGTCCTTCTGCGCCCGCAGCCCGGAATGCCAGCTTCTTCAACCAAGAGATCGAACCAACCTCGGCGGTGGCAGAGGCGGCGACGGAAGCGGCGTTGGTCAGCTGTGCCAAGGCGGCGCTGCCGGACGGGTAAGGGATAGTGTAGTGGACGAATAAATAGGCGGCGGCCATGTTTGTTCCAAAGACGAACTGGGTGATTTGCATGGTGGTCAAGCTGCGCTTGATGGCGTTAGGGACGCGAATGCGGAGAGCGGTGATGGTGTAGTAGGTGTACTAAAGCGAGGAAAAAAAGTTAGTGACTTCGCTTAACAAATCAAAAAGCAATGCGGTTGTTCTGACTTACCATCATAGCGTGGATGGCCGAGTTAACCAGGCAGAAGATCCAAATGGGAGCTGCCATGTAGCGGATACCAGCCCACATGCACATCATAGCTCCCGCGTGGTGGTAGGTCTGTAGGGTAGAGCTCTTCTTGCCCTTGGCCAGAATGATCGCGGTATCGACAACCTCGTAGAACTTGGACAGATAGAAGAACCAGCCGAAGTAAGCCAAGCCCTGGTTCCACAGACGACCGGCATCCGTGGGGTCTGGCATTCCGTTGGTGAGGTGGAAGGCAGGATTGGGAATCGACCACTCATCAGTGATGGGGCTATAGATAGCGGCATTTCCGTAACCGCGGGGTCCATTGATCTTGCACAGCGAGTCCACAACTCCAACCAATCCGTGGGGGTCGTCGCTATCCGGGAAAGAGCTCCTGAATGCCTGGAACATGCCTACGAAGGTCCATGCGGAGTACACAGCTAGGAAGACATTGTGGAGAACGACAAACAGCTTGAACAAACGGGAGTTGCTGAACGCATATGGCTTATAGCCACGGCTCTTATTGATGCGATTGATCAGGACCACAGTAATCGCATAGACACTGGCGATTGTGATTGGTAGCCGGACGTCCAACACCTGGTTATAGAGATCGTTCGGGATGTTGAAGGGCTGCTTCCATGTCGGGGTATCAACGTGAGGCGCGGGGATGGTCACTGGGAGCTCGTGGGGAGGGAAGGCGAGGAGAGAGGCAGGAGGGAAAGCAATGCGAACAATTGCCTGGCCAAACTTGGTGGGCACATTGAAATCGTGCATGGTGATTGCCACGCGGAAGCGTTCAATTCAACGCGTCAACTCGACAAAAAGATGATACGAAAGAATATAAGAGAAAAAGATATGTGATTTCTCAAGAAGTTAAAAAAAAAAAAGTAAAGTAAAAGAAAAAAAAAGGTGGAAGTGTTGAAGTACAGTGGGTCCCCCCCCGATAAACTGCCCTTTGAATTTCTCAACAAGGGCAATGACTGACGATCTCGATCCGCCCGCGTTTAGTTTGTTGGGAATTCCAAGGCTTGGCTATCAAACGTGCCGAGGTTAGATGTCGCCACTTACCTAGAAGGGTAGATTGAATGTACATTTGATACACCGCATGTACGGAGTATATGGAAATAGACATGTAAGAGTGGAACTCTGTCACTCAATTCAATGCAGAAATTGCATTTCCCATGATATTGGCGATAAAGCGTATTGCGCTGCCAACAGTTAGTGTAATTACTTATTTTAAAAATAAAACCGGATGTTCTGTTCAAAGTAGTCCGTACTCTGGACTGTATAACATTTGGACACCTGCAGAGCTGTATCTTGCAGGCCCTGCACAGACCTGTACGTACTGCCCCAGGAAGGGCCGGAGAAAAGCTCGCTGAGTCAGCCGAACAAAGTTATGATTTCCCTGGAACATTAAAGTTAAAACAGAAAGCTTCGAAGCTCGGAAGATGCCCAGGTGGTGACCTCAGACTATCACTCGTGATCAGCTGCTTGTTGGGATATTTGAACCACTATAATCGTCCCAACGCGTTGAGGATATGCAATCAGATATGAAATAGCAAAATCGGGTCACATGCAGCCTCGGTCATACTGTATGCTGAAAATGCGCATGAGACTCACCGATATAGACAGAGACTATGATGTACAACCTTGGAACTGTATAGGGTAGAGGGATCTGCACATGTCGTCATCATGACAAAATTGTTCGATTTCCCTCCTAATTATATCGCAAAAGCAAAAACACCCATCAACGCCAGGAATGCGCAACGTACACATATACACGGTTAAAAGTACAGTCCTTAGCGGGGCTTGGTGCTATGGGGAACGGGAGGTGGTCCCGGAAGTGATGGTGACGAAGCGTCAACAGGGGACGCATGAAATTCAGCTCGCTTGGGCGGAGGTGGCGGCGGGGCCTTCTTGCGTTGGGCTTGAGTCTGAATATCGGGATCTGCGGGTGACACCGCTGGAGAGTTCGACTGACCCATGGAGATAGGACGAGAAGGCGGGGGTGGGCGTGGGATCCGTTTATTAGCTTCCGCGGAGAACTTGCGGTCCTCCACAAATGTGTTAAAACGCGATCTGGCTCCACCCCACTTCTCTTTGCCCATCTCGATCTTGTCCGCATGGCGTTCACGGAAATCTTGCACAGAGGATGTGCCCCGTGCGGGCTCCGCCGGTTCCAAGTTCATACTGGAAGTATCCGACGCGGCCCGGGCCGGTGGGCTAGGCGCTGCTGGGGAGGACGCTGCTGGAGAAGAGCCAGTGAACCGCGACGCGTAGCCACTTAACTTCTGTTTGCCTGAGTCGATTGAGTCCGCATGACGCTCACGGAAATCACCGTATTTCTGCTTTCCCGAATCGATGGTATCTGCGTGTCGCTCGCGGAAATCACCATACTTCTGTTTCCCCGAGTTGATGGTATCTGCATGACGCTCGCGGAAGTTGTGGAGAGAAGACGTGCTCGCGTTCGTCGAGGCCGGAACAGGCGGGGTGGGTGTAGATGGAGATGCCGAGGTATTCATCTGGGAGAAGCGTGACTGCAGCTCATTGACAGGTGTATGTGCAGGCGACGAAGATTTCTCCTGACCAATCCCTAATCCAGGAACCGAGATGCCAGCGTTTGCTAGGCGGGAAGTAGCATCTTGATTGATATAATCATGGGAGAGTACCGGTGCGGTGGAATACGCGGGGGGCGGATCGGAGCTGGGGGATCCATTGCGGGCAGGAAGTCGTGGCGGGGGCTTTGGCGGCTTTGACTTTGAGATCGGGCTTGTTGAGGCAGAACTTGCTGAGTCTAGTCGCCGCACTGGTGGTGGAGGGAGATGATCTGTAGACAGGCCGCTTGTGTCGACGCGATACGGGACCGGAGGTGGGGCGGGCTTTTGGAACTGTTCCTCCTCTGCTTCGGCTACTTGCTGTCGGTGGGAACTCTGATCCTGGGACAGCGGAGCCCCTAAACCCCGGCGGTCGGGGGTTGCCTGATTTGGCACCGCGGCTGCTCCATGGTAATTGATATGTTTGGGAGGGGGTCCAAAGGAAGATGGATCTTTGAGGGATGACAATGGTTGCGAGACATGGTCAGAGCGGTTGGAGTTGGATTCATTACCCTTTCCCATCCATCCTGCCTAAAAGCGAGCAAACGTTAATACCAATGGACGAGTCATGAAGACACGAGATGTGAGCCTACCACTTGGCCCCTGATTCCCCCCTGTGACGAGGAGCCATGTCCAGAGCCAGAACCGGAGGATTCGCCCTCCTTGCCCTTTCCCATCCATCCAGACTAATAGCGAATATAAGTCAGTATCAATGGCCGAGGTGCGAGTCCGAGAGAGGCGAGGGGAAAGCTTACCACTGAGCTTCTGATACCCCCCTGTGATTCGGACGCTTGCCCAGAGCCAGAGCGAGAGCCAGAGGATTCACTTTCCTTGCCCTTTCCCATCCACCCAGCCTAACATCCAGTATAAGTCAGCACCAAGGCCACCCAAGTTGCGAGTCCCAGAGAGGCGAGGGTGAGCTTACCACTTGATTGATGCCTTTAAAATCACCACGCCAGCTCTCCTTTCCACCTTCCTTGCCTTCAGGGTGCCAGCCACCCTTCATAGTATTGCGTAAACCACTCATTATGCTGCAAACCCTCGGGAGTGCGGGGATGACAGTTGCCAAGGGGTTGGGGAAGCTGTGACGACAATATCCCCACTCGGTCACGTGTGACCTTAATCTAGTAATTGATTTACATAGTTCACAGAGTCTGTACTGTACAAGCGCTCTGTATCCCATACAACATAAGTGAGTACATGATCATTGAAGATCCCAGTAAGGTAATTAAGTCAAGTCCTTGAATTCATGTGTTTCAAATGACGGATTTGATTGTCAATCAGGTAGGCTTACCTAAGCGGTACAATTTTGCCCCAAACGGGGGTTATGTTGAACTTCAAGGATAGTCCTTTTACCCTTCGGGGTATATGGTCAATTGAAAATATACAGAGAAGATTAGGATAGCCCGTGGAGTTAAGGATGACATGCTCAACCAAAGAGAGGCTGCTATATTTTTTCCCCTTTGACGTCCTGTATTGAGCTTATAGGTTAGCTTATGGTGAAAGAAAAGAACATGCTGGTAATTGCGAAAGTACCCGCCCTCTCCAGGATGGAAGAGATAGATCTATTAAATATATGCATGTACATAGTTGGAAAATGCCAAGTCTGAATCTAGATTAATTAACAAAACCTCTTTAGTTAAGAGGTTTTTGGAGAAACCGCTGGGTAAGATCGTTCTCAATCCATTGCTCAATTAGCCCAACGCTATCCCCGACAAGGTGGTCGTAGTTTGCACCCTGTGGGATAAACATGGACTGATGTGCCAAAACTTCGTCCATATCCTCCATTAATATCGGCGTCCAATGGGAGTTATTGTTGTGCCTCCAATGATGTGACGGCAAGAGAACGAATTTGCGAAGGTGTTGTTTATTAGGGTCTGAAAAGTCTGTGGTTGTGATAGAGCCATTCTCGGTTGAGAGGGAAATGCTTCCTGAGAGGGACTGGTTCTCTATTCGGTCGATTGAGGTTGAGGTAGATAGTGCGGTGCTTGCATGGTCCACTAGCAGATTATCCTTGTCATCGTTGGCATTTTCGGTTGCCAGGGAAGGATGAGAAGTAGCGGACTTTAAGGGCTTTCGTTTGATTGTCATGTTGTTCATGGAAGTGGTTATTTCAGTTTCTTCGGAACCGCTTGACGTATCTGAGTATTCAGGCGAGTGGATTTTCGTTGTGTATTCATCCAGATCAATTTCGACCTTTCTTGTAGACTCTTCATCTTTCTTCGTAGACTTTCTAGCTTTCTTTTCAGCTTTCTTCTCGGCTTTTCTTTCAGCCCTTTCAGCTTTCCTTTCCGCCTTTTCGGCTTTCTTTTCGGCGTTCGTCTTGCAGTTTCGCGGTTTGCGACCAGTGCTCGCAGTATAGTAATTGACAAATCGTACTCTCCAGGGACTGGACTCGGCACCTTCCAACTCCATCAAGTGCCGGTACCGCTGACGAAGTTCAGAATAATTATTGACACAACCAGCAAATGTCAAGGGTGATACTATGCGCTCGAAGATAGATCGGGAGAGATTGTCGGTGTTTTTGTTGACAAAATGGATAATGCCATCGAGGAAGCCACGATCAACCAGGCGCACATCGTTCATAAATGGTGGGTCAAAGTTGGGGTTGAAAGGGGCGGGCTTTAAGGCTGGTTCCAAGACCAGAGGTTCTTGTTCTGCCGCAAGCTTCTCTTCATCTGCCGGGTCTCTCTTAGGTATCAAGCCCATGGTTCCCGTTGCTATGACGCGGGGATGGATTCCCAGAAAAGGGACATCGAATCCCACTACTCCCAAAATTCGATGCTTTGCTCGCTTGTCTTGTTGTAAGCGAGCGACATCTGCAGCTAGGATTCCGCCGAGACTATGTCCTAGCAAGATAACATCCAGATCATCTGCCTCATGTGGCAATAGCCTACAAGTACCTCTATCAGCATATGTGCCTAGTTAATAATCTAGGAAAAACGGGCTTTCTGTGGCGCGATCACATACCAGGCACTGAATTGATCCACGGCTGTTTGTATCTCGCCTTGAGACTTGTATCTAGGATACATGCGGGTGTACACCACGTGTGACTCGGCCAACGAGCCCGTTAACAGATCATGAACATGCAGCGGAAGGTCATGGAAGCTGGCTTCTGATCCCATGAAGCCATGGATATAAATCAGTAATAGCCTGCGCTTTTCTGTTGTCTGATATCCTTCGGGCTGAGGCAGCGACAGGGTGGAATGAGAACCATCGGCGTAAGTACGAATATTCCCCTCCATCTCCATCTCCATCGCCAAAATAAGCCCAAGAGAGACGCTGAGATAGGAAAATGAACAACAGAATTCCGTTCTTGGGTATTCGCCAAGTTTCCAAGGTTGGAATGCGGGGGGCCTTCAATTGCCACCGCAGCTGACTAAGTCAAGGGGTAAGTCCTGGAGAGGTTGATCATATCCACATGGAATAGTCTTGGAGAGAGTGAAAAGATCGAAATCATTATTTGAGGATATCTTCGATGTCTCTTTGATGTCATTCCTCATTTTTAAGGCATTGAAATCTCTGCTTGGTTAACTACACTATCAGTGATATTCTTAAATCGATCCACAGGAGGTCGTACTCGTATTCATCGCCTCAGCCACATCGACGCATCCATGGATTGTGGTAACAAGCTTAGTCCCCCACTTTGATATCTGTCTTCGTGCATACTCCGTACTGCACTTACCAACTCTAGCGCATCCACATTCTATGTACATCCATAATCTCTAACATGAAATTTTCGCACAAAAATTCTATACAGCTCCGTGCCCAACATGATGACTCGACATAGCCAGAGGACTATCCTGCACTCCCCATTCGCCCTCTTCGATGCCTTGCGCGTAGAATCGAACCAGGAGACCAACGGCAACTGGACCGATGATGGTATTCAGAAGGATTGCCCAGACGCCAGTGATAAAACCATCGTCACCAACGTATGGAGTTTCGTTGTGGCCGATTTCAATTATCAAAAGCCCAATCTCACCGCGTGCTACCATGGCAGATCCTAAAAGTGTTGCGGCGAGCCAGGCCCGGTTCCACTTCTTCCCATTCTCTTGGTGGCCTTGTTCTGCATGGCTTGTGTCATTGTCTTCGTTTTTTGGTATTCCCTGTCTTTTCCGGTCTTCATGTGACTCTTTTTTGTGAGATTTACTCCCACGAACGAGTTGCCATACAGGGATCCAGATTCCGACGATGCACTATGTAGATTTGTTAGCTCAATTGCCGAAGAATGACTTCGGGTATCCGCATACCTTTGCAAACGCCATCAAGAGGGTATAAACCACCCCTCTCCAAATTCGTTTTCCGGTCCACAGCTTCAAGAAAGGAATCGCAAATCCGATACTTGCGAAGAACAAAGGTTCCATCAAATACTGCTGAGGTCCTAACAGATATTTCTCAAAGGTGTGAACGAAAGTGGGACTTTTATCCGCCTCGCGCTCGCCTTCCTCGCGGCTCATGACAACAAATGGTCCTTCGGGGTGCTTGCTCGGTATGTATGTGAGAAATACACCCGCTAAAAAGGCACCAAATAAGACGGATGTGCCAGTAAAGCCAGCGATGGCAATAAATGCCGAAAGAACAAGGGTCATGAGGATGATGTTCGAGATATGGTCGAATCGCGCAAAGCGGTATTCAATGAACTTTCGGAAAAAAGGCGCAAACACCCATTTGGTGACGATGGGCGTTACGACGGCCATGCCTATCGATGCTACTATAGGACGCCCAATGAGCCAGCCCAGATTGACATCGTCTCCTGAAAGTTTGCCCAAGTCGCCAATCACACTATACAGCTGTCAGTTTGATGAATTGATCACACACTTTACTCCGATTTTCACATAAGTAACATACCTCAACATAACAAGTCCTACGACATCATCGATGACAGCAGCGCTCACCAGAACCGACCCTACTCGAGTCTCGGCGAGATTGACCGAGCCAGACGCAGAGCTAATCACAGCAAAGGTGGTACCTAATATTTATTAGCGATTAAAATGCAGTCAACCTAGCACTTCCGAGGAAATAGTTTACCGAGTGAAGTAGCGGAAAGAGATGCGCCAATGATAAAGGTCTCAACGGCACCTGGTCCATGTTAGCTTTCCAGGTTTGACTAGAGGAATTGGGCAAGCAACAAACCATATCCAAAACCAAGATAGAGTAAAAGGTATGAAAGACCAATAGGAAATAAAACACCCGTTGCGGCGCCAACCATACTCAAAGTGAAGTTCTGCTTAAGCAGATCTACACGGGCGCCAAGACCGCCTAGAATGGATGACATCAGTATCCAAGAAGCCAAGGACCTCGGTACGAGTAGCCAAGACGAAAACGTTTTCCCACTCACCTTCGAAAATGATCAAAATTAGACCGACATATCCCAGAGTGACAAAAGTCTCTTGCCAGTTATGTTCAAGGATATTGGCCAAGGGTACGCCGTAGATGATGCCGACGGCGATTTGACCTATAATCCCGGCCTGGATTGCCTTCGCGGAGACCCATCTTGCAAGGGAAAGGAAAAAGAAAAAAGAAACGATGATAAGGATGTCGACGGCTGCAATAATTGATCAGTGAGGAAATGAGCAGAGATCAATTGGGATATGCTTGGGTACATACTTCCAGGTTCGTGGTATGGGAGGAAACCATTGGCCATGCTCGAGGTTTGTCAGACTTATACGCAAGATTAAAGAACAAGGTTGAAGAACGAGAGAATTACCAGGACTAAAGTAATTGCAAAGACCCAGTCTGGGCAGTCTGGGCAGTCGGGGCATGATCCAGGCATGCTCTGAGTGGATTGGATTACCAGCTCAGGTGCACCACGGGTACAACCACTTATCACATCGTAATAGTTACCTCATGCAATAGTTAACTATTTTTTATAAATTCGATGGCTATTGTTAAGGCTGCATTATCGTAGTATTAAAACAACAGTGGTCGGCCGCTTATGGGGCCTTGTGTCTTTTTTGGATGTCTTTTTGGATGTTGTCAGAATGGATTTAAGGCCCCCCCTAGGCCATAAACAGTGAATGTGGATGGAAAAACATCATGGCTTGGAATTTATTATTCTATACGCCCTACGGCTATATGTCGTTCCCAAGGTTATGGTGCCTGACGATTAAGCCATGTCCCACCCGTTTACCTAAATTTATGTAGATTATATGACACCGAAAGTAGAAAATGAAAGCTATACTCTAATTTTACACGAATCCTTGTCAAATATGGGCACTTACTATTGGTCCTTTTTACACTCCTGCATCGGCGTCAAAGCATAACCATCCAATAATAAAATCCCCCATAATATCTAAGTCAGCCTATGAACTCCTCTGAGGAACTAAGCAGAAAGTAGTTAGGGCTCGTGTTGATCCTACGTGGCCCCATATTAGCCCCATATTAGCGCCTACGTCGTAAAAATAGCATCTCTAGCATCTCTAGCATCTCTGAGCATCTCCGACCCTCATGGATTTGAAGTTTCAATGTTTTGTAATTATTTGTGTTGGTATTTTCTTTGAGATGCATATTAGGCAAATGTGTCAGTTCAATGGGATCGTAATGTGAACTCTTCATTAATGCCGAGTCTAGTGCTGCATGTCGAAGCGCTTCTTTGTTAGAGCGTCTCATCTTGAGGGCAGTGCTTCAACCCCACCCGGGGGCTGTTGGGTGTGCTGTAGTCCCTACATTTGCTGTGATCTTCGTTTTTTATTCTCCCAAAGTTTTGAAATTTCGCATTTGTTCCTTTTCAACTTCTCTGTTCTCGAACCTGGACGTATATTTAACTATCTTGTACAAAGACATCGGGGACTTACCTAAAGCGGTTATTGAATGGGAGAGTTCTAGGGCCAGTGTCTTTTGTACTATCTTACGTGGTTCTTTGTCTTCGCTTTGGGGCCTTCACATAAGACAAAAGTGCCCCAACTATCCATTTTCAACTCACCATACCTGCTATGGGGAGACTCTTGGGATTCTTGCCATTTGCAATGTTGGGCACTGGACTGGAAAATGCAGATACCCCGGATTCCACTCCAACCTCGATGGCATCAGCAGCCCAGGATGTGACGTACACGACGAAACCTGGCGAACAAAACAACAATCTTGCAGAAACGTCAGACTGGGTAAATCCAGCAGCGACAGAGACAGGCATCTATCCTGGAACGGTTTCATGGCCCTCAGCCAGTGAGTTGACCACATACCCAGCACCAACTGCGACACTGGATGCAGCAAGCTCATATTATCCATCACTATCATCAATACCAACATCCTGGACCACACCGTCAATTTCAAACTCATCCTCTCTCACGTCCACCCAAACAACAATAACAACAACAACCACAACCACAATCTCAGCCTCAGCCTCATCCTCAGAAACAACCTCAGCGACCAGCGACTCAACCGCCTTCTCTGGCGGTCCATCAAAAACAACCAAAATCGCCATAGCAGTCCCAGTCTCAGTAATCGGCCTAGCTCTAATCCTAGCGCTACTATTCTTCCTCTCCCGCCGACGACGCCGCAAACAGGAACGCAATACGCTACCACCCCCCTACGATATAGCAACAGGCCATCGAAGCGCAGTTTCAACGCAAGAGCTAATGATATCACCGAAATCTGCAACCCCAGAACCAAGACGTTCACTCTCAACCCCGGCAATGTCCTCAGTGGCTACATCTATGCCGTTGCCAATCCCTCGGATCCCGGTTATTAGCATCTCACCCTCGACGGAAAGTCGGGGTCGAACGCCTAGTCCCAACCCGAGTCCCAACCCCAGTCCTGGCTCGGGATCTGTGCACCGTATGTCTATGGCCCGTGAACCTGGTGACTCTGAGGCGGAGCTTGGGGTTGCGGTTGCTGTTCCTATGGATCAGAGGCGGAGTGCTACGGAGCAGGATTTGAGGGACTGGGTTGCGTCTGTTACATCATCGAGGGGGCCGTCGCGGTTGGCTAGGATGCCGTTTGAGGATTTTTCGGATGATGAGGTTGGTATTGGGATTGCTGTTGGTGGGTCGTCGGATGATGATGATGACGCTGTTTCTGATGTGTCGGGTTTGGATGGGCGGAGGAGGGTGAGGGACTTTGATGAGGTTTCTGTGGTGTCATCTTTCGATGAGGTGTCGCCGATAGGCGAGCAGGAGAGGGGGCGGTTCCGGGGAGTTTGAGGGTGTCAGTAAGGTGATATGATATAATGAAGCTAAGCTCGGTCGAGAGATTCTTTGATGTAGTATTCTTTTGGTCTACTGGCGTTTTGGGTGAGTTTAGGGAGGGTTCATTGTAATACATAGGCTACAAGTTGTGTATTTCAGACTATGTACTTGAATATGACTGGAACGATATCATAACCACAGTACTAGGTCATAGTATTGGGAACTTCGAGGTCATGTGCAGTGTGAGGAGGGACTGTTGGCGCTGATCATTATTCTGATTATCTTCCACCACCGTAGTCAGCCTTGTGGGCTGTGGCCTTTCCGTGCGTCAATTCACGAAGAGCCATGGTGGCGTACTGGCTTGATCCCAATTGGAATTTCAGAACAATGGCCAGCTTATCAGCTGCGGTCTCATTGGCCATAGTGGTATCGACATTCTCATCCTCGGGCTTCAGCTTTTGCAACTCCGTCTTAACGAACTGCTCATCATCCTTGGAATAAAGCTTCACGTCGAAAGAGTAGTTGTTTCCCACCATACGGCTGAAAACCTTGCGGTAGCCGCCGCTAAGACTGATGTCCTTCCACTTGCGGCGCATGTTGGACGGGTCAAGGCCACCACCCTGCTCGCTTTCCATGAAGCGACGATAGAATTCCTTCATTTCATTTTCGGGGTAGATAATATCATATCCAGGCTGGGGAAGGACCAGGTCAAAGATGGTGTATTTTCCGCTGGCTGCCTCTTCGGCTGTCAGAGCACGTGCCCGCATGAACATGTCGTCGGCCGCGACGGCACTGTCCTCGCCCTGAGGAACAACAATAATTTCACCGTCCGCATCAACAGTCTCGGGAGCCTCGACAGCAGAAACAGCTTCTTTGTCGCGGTGCTCTTGGATAATAACGAGATCGCCTTCCACCACTCGATCGCCGTAGAGACGCCAGCGCTCGCTTGTAGCAAAGTTCCAGACAAGCGACTGGTATGCATGCACGTACATCAATCGCAGGTTCCGGGGGATAGACTGCAGCGCGCCTAAATAATCCTTGCGGTTTCTTCCGAGGTGGCGGATTAGATTGTTTTCAGCAGAGAATTTGCGCGGCATCTTTTGCAGAGCGTCGTTGACGTTACCGCCGGTCTGGAAGATATTAATGGCCATGGCGCGATCCTTATCATCAGTGCTGATGTTGGCAGTAGACATTTTCCCTTCCATTGCCGCTTGAAGGGATTCAGGAGCATATTGCATAATAGCATCGCATGCGCCCTTGAAATCCCCTTGCAGCATCTTGACACCGACAATGTCCGTTCGGGTTGCGAAGGTTCCAAATCGCTGGAGACCGTAGTAGTTGAAATATCCGCGTTGGTAGAGGTTCTTCAAAGAGGTACCGACAACCTCGGACGCCTTGGCAATCGCAGCCTGAGGATCACTCAGGCTCACGCCGGGAATTTCAACGTCGCGCAGAGTAATCACAAACTCATTGCCCTGCAAATCTCCAAGCTCCAGGCCTTGCTTGCGGTACACGAAGTCTCCAATGTAAGCATTGCGAAGTTCCGAGTTCACTTGTGCAAGGCGATCCACTTGAACGCGCACAGCACAGGCACGCTGCACGGTCACACCCCGCCTATCCTTGGTACCAGCGAATTGCAAAGACTTGGGGTTCATCTTCAATGAGCGAGCGATGTAGCCGATGACTTCCATTGTGTCCTTGTTCTCCTTGTAGATGGTGAAATGCAGGTATGGCCCGCCGAGTTCTTCCCAGTTTGTTCGGTGGCCCTGGACCCGGCCATTGGCTCGTCCTGCGGTCGCACCGCGCTTGAAACGGTTGTTCGCCGCAGTGATTGCCATGTTTCCATCTGCGTCGGTAGAAGACTCTAGCTGAGAGTTGAAAATGCGACGGATGGCCTGGTGGATCTTGGTGCGAAGGTCGCGATCAGACACGGCAACGGTGACGTTTCCGAATTCACTGGGTCGACCCTTTGGCTTAGCCATGGCGATCTTATGGAGCGCAATTATTTCAGCAGCATTCTGATCGCCAAAGTATTCCTCCAGAAGAGTGTGGTCCTCTTCCGAAACCTTGAACTCAGCTGGCTTTTCCACATCCTTGGCCGGGGTACTCTGGGTTTGCTCCGTAGCCTGGGTTTCCACCTTCGGGGCTTTTGGCGCAGGGTTATGCTCAGACTCTTCGGGCTTGATGGGCGTATCGAGGCTTTGGAGGTGGACAACTTCGCCGGTGGTCATGATCTCGTTGACCATGAAATCTGTGTATCTGCGCATGATTATTAGTGAAATCCTTAACTAGAGGAACAGGAGAGCTCACCTCTTTTTCAGGATACCCGAAAATCCCTCAGTGTCGTTGCTCACAAACTCCGTGATACCGACCTCGCCTTCCTTCAGAGCCTGCGCATCGGACACTGCGGTGCTCGGAGTCTCAGTTGCGCCATTAACAGCGACAGCGACTTCAGTTGAGCCCACATCTTCGGTCTTCTGGCGCTTGCGCGGAGACTCCACGATATCTGGCTTCTCCATATTGTGTTAATCGTTTGTAATGGGTGGGGTTGGACGGAGAAGGTTGAACTTCAGGAACTTTTCCTGACTGATTGAGTTTAGCGCGCGACAGGGCCAAGTGTGGGTCAACCCTACTTACCGCGTTGGGACGAAACTTATACTTCACCTCATCACTCACTCCATTGAATATTCGACTCTTTCAATAATCAATAGATCTCAGTAAGCGTTACATGATTTGATATTTCTGTTTGATCCGAAGCCTTCTGCTAGAATCATAAACAAAGCTGTGTGAAGACAAACTGAGATCTTCCCAACACCTGCAATGCCTCAAATCGAATCAATGTGTTACAACAGCGGTGTGATAATTGGTCATAAATACACAGATAGAAGGAACCTTAAGTGCCAAAGCTAAGGGTTTCTTAAGAGAGCAAATTACTACGAGTCATTGTAAAATGATCGTAAGTGGACTCTTCCGATGCGCTACTATCACGAGACTTGGATTTTAATATCATCCTCAAGTACCCATTGTCAGCATGCACAGCTCTGCTGCCAAAATTGATGTCTCATACTATTGTGATAAGGTCTATGGTTGACAAGGCGTTTGACCAGTCCGAACGTTAACGATGATCTCCTTGAGTCCTCGAAAACTAGTTACAATAGAAGCCAATTGTCCCACACACTCCAATATCACACCTAAGGTATAAATAGAGAAATCTTTTGTCCAGTGTCTTAAAGATTCCCCGGTTGAATGCCACGGCTAAGCCGAACAAGCTGCATAAACTTACCTCAGATAGGATCGAGGTTTTTGCAAAATAACTGGACGTATTCGAAAGCAGATATGGTTTCTTACTGGAGGTCTAGACGGAATATACTTAGTGATACTGTACTAGCTCCTTGCTTGCTAAACGAAGCCGAATATAAGCCAGAGATCAAGACAGGAGGAAACTTATCAAAGAGCCGACACATATATTGTAATCGAACCTATCTAGCACTTTCCAAAACTCTATAAGTAGACTAGCATCATTTAAATACGCAGCATCAACTTCCCGTCTTCATGCTGCTCGCAAAAACACCACACGCCAAAATCAGGGCAACCACAATTCTAAATCCGACTTTCCGACAGGGCAAATGACTGGACGCTGCTCATGCAACATACCGATGAAATCCACTCAATCTCCGATCTGAGGTGGGAAATCTCGCTGATCAGTCCTGTACCCTAGAAGGAAGATGAAGGCGACCGTCGAGGTATAAAATGGAGGTGCTCGCCCGCTGTTCTGGATATCAGTTCTTCAGGAATCGACCCTCCACCTCTACTAAGCTTCCCTGCAAAGTCGTTCTGTGAGTCTCGTTAATACATCACATTTATCACATACCACAATTGAGTTGATCATTGACTCTTATTTCACAATAGCTCAATCTAAAACAATGAAGTCCAACTTCCTCATCGCGCTCTTCAGCTTGGCTCTGGCCGCTGTTGCTGCTCCTACCGGTATGTCATCAGTCATTCCAGTGCTTCATTTGGCTGGAACACTTCTAATTGAGTGATAATGATAGGTCCTGGTGGTGCTGGCGGCGGTGGTGGTGCTGGCGGTTCTGTGGGCGGCGGCGGCGGAGGCGGCGGTTCAATCGGCGGAGGCCTCGGTGGTGGCTTTGGGGGTGGCTTTGGTGCTGGTGCCGGTGCTGGCGCGGGAATCTAGAAGGATCCCTCGAGACTGGACTAATACGCTTGACATTTTGTAGTCCGTTGAAGTGGTTTCTTAATCGAAAAATAGGATGGTAGGATGATAGGACTGGCAATGACAATTTCACCTACTTTATTTGCATCCATGTTTTTGTAGAGCTGAAGTATTTTCTACATTGTGACTGGCTGTGAAGTAGAGATCTTTATAGTACAAGAAAACAAGAAGACTAAAGACAATAGAACTGCTAACGCTCAGCCCAAAACTCCATTGTGATTCTTTTTTCTATCTTCCAGGATGTAGTGTGCACATGATACATGGGTTGCGTTAGAATGAAATGCTCTGTACGAGTCAAAAGTGAAAAAAAAATGTAAACAAATGTAAAATGCATGGTGAAAAGGAACAAGGGAATGATTATTTTACAGCTCATCTTTGGGAAGATCCTCCTTCTCCTTGGGCTGATCCTTGCTCTTGCCCTTGCTCTTCTCGGCCTCAGGCTTCTTCTTTTCCTTAGGTGCCTTCTTACCGCTGCTGCTGCTCTTCTTCTGTTGGCCAGCGTTTGCGGTCATCCTCTCGTACATGCGGTTAAGGATACGCTCGAACTCTCGTAGCCGCGAGTCGATCTCCACAACGGTCAAAGCAGGGTCGTCAGACTCGGTAAGCTTCTCTTGCAGACCGAGCTGGGTTTCGAGCCAGGGGTTAGTGGACTCGTAGGCCTGTGTGATAGCCGTGAGGTCGGTGGGAGTGAAGAGGGAGTACTTGGGGCCTGTGGGCTTGGCCGTAGCAGCACTCGTGGTGGATGTGGTGGAAGACGAAGAAGCGGAGTATGCGTCTTCATCGAGATCATCGAGACCCTCGTCAGAGGCGGCGGGGGCTGGGGTCGATGAGCTGGTCTCACTGGAGGTGGAGATCTCAGTGGAGGAGGCACTTGAGGCCGAGAGGGAAGAGGAGTAGATCTGCTCGTCGTTATCGATCTGGTTCTTGATCAATTCTTTCATTGATTCCGCGTTCTTCAACATGTCCTTGAGCAACTGCACGCGTGCTGGGCGAGAAGAGCTCTCCTTCATCCGCTTTAGTGCAGGGTTGACGATGGCCTTCAGGTCCTTGAGCTTCGACTGGAAATCGGCAGTCTTGGCGTTGTCACCCTCTTCGTACAGCCAGTCGCTGGCCTGGGAGACTCTCTCGGAGAGAACAGTCAGCTGATCCGGCTTGACTGCCTTGATGAACTCCTCGTTATCGGTGAGGTCTCGGCTACGGTAGATGAAAGATTCCAATTCATTAAGAGCCTCTTCGCGTAGGATGCGATCACGGTCCGAATTATCGAAGGCAAGAAGGCGGCCGTTAATGCGACCGAACTCCTCGACTGACGGCGCCGGAGTTCCAAGCGCGACAGACTTCAGGCTGATCGGGATAACTTCAAGCTTGACCTGAGGAGTGGCCTTTGCGTCCTTCTTGGCATCCTTCTTTGCGTCCTTGGTGGATGTGGTGGTGGACTTGGAACTGGCGGAGGATGAAGTGGAGGATTCCGTCTCGGGCTCGAGGGTTATAGATTCACGAGGCTCGCCATCTTCGCCGAGGGGCTCCTGCTCGTCCTTCTTGCCGAGACCAAAGAAGCCCTTAACGTCTTCGACAATTCCCTTCTTCTCCGACTCTACCTCGCAGCTAACGGTACCAGTCACAACTTCCGGGAGACCGTCCACAGGGCTGAGGCGGATCGTGAACTTCGTGGTAATGTTTGCATTAGTGCAGCCAAAGTTATCCTTGAGCTTGGCAACAGATGCAGTGAGGTTCAGGGTTTGGACACTAAGGATAGGTTGTTCTTCATCCTGGGAAACATGCTGGGCGAAGCTGAATTCGAAATCCTCCAGGTTTTTCACGGTGACTTGCTTCTCGGGACCAACCTGGGAAGTGGCGGTAAACAGCTTCTGGTTTCGTTGCTTGCCGTCTGAGTTCCACTTCAAGGAGATGGGGTAGGTAGCGGCATCACCGGTGCGAATATCCTTAACACGGAAACTAGGGCTCAGAGCAGCTCCCTTGAAGGCAGCACCAAACACAGCCGCCTCATCAGCGTTGACGTTGGTTCTGATCTTCTTAGCAGAGCCAACAAAGTTCTCCAATTGCTTCTGGACGAAAGGGGTCCGAATGGCTCCACCGTGAAGCACGACAGATTCGACATCGCTCAATTCAAGACCGGCCGCCGTCAAAGCCTGCTGAACTGGGATTCCAATACGGGCGACATACTCAGCTGCCATCCTCTCAAAGTTGGCACGGGTCAACTTGTACTTGAAGTTGACATTCTCGTCGTACAGTCCCTCGAAGCTTGTCGAAGTCTCGGTGTTGGCGCTCAAAACCTGTCGGAGCTTTTCCGAATCCTTCCAGAGCCTGGACATAGTCTTTCCGTGAGCCTTGATTTCAGCTGGAGTAACTTTATCCTTGAGCTTCTTGTCCTCAACCAAGTGGGCGACCATGTCGTCCACAATGAGATCATTCAGGGAGTCACCTCCAAGTGATTTGTCCCAACCAGATCCAACAACATGAACTTCCTGGACAGTCTTGTTGAATTTGCCAATATCCTTAACTTTGCGACTCTGGAACCGCAAAACACTCGCGGTTGTAGATCCAGCACCCATGTCATACACGATGTGGTATTCGGGCTTCTCGCCATCAGAAACACTGGGGAAAGTACGGCTGGTGGCGTAGTTCAGACCGACAGCCAAACCATCGCTGACAAGAGCCTGGATCCTCAGACCTGCCAGCTCAGCCGCCAACTCCAGGCTGCGCTTCTCCTCCGCGGTGTAGAACACAGGGTAGGTAATGACGACATCGCGGACATCGGATCCCTTTCCAGCCAACGCATCAGCATTGGCCTTGATCTGCTTCAACTGCATTGCCAGAATCTCCTCAACCAAAAAGGCTTCCTTCTTCTGCGCCTCTCCCAGCCGGTTGCTGCGGAGAGCAACAGAGCCGCGACCATCGGGGGCGGACTCTAATTTCAACGCAGGGAACCTGCTCCAATAAGCCTTGACTGCCTCCTCGTTGCCATCATTGAACGGAACGCCCAACAGGGTCTTCAAGTTGATATATATGTCGTCCGGGTACCGAGCCGCAAGGGCGAGCGCATCACCACCATAGAACCGTTCGGGGAAAGGCGCATCACTCTCTCTTGTAGGCTTGAAAGCGACAGCAGCGGACTCCTTGCGCTTCGAATCCTTAGTGAGAACGATTTCAAGCGGAATGCCGGGTTTCACGAGAGCAGCCTTGAAATATTCCGTGCCGATGTCGAGGCCCAGAACGGCCGATCCGGCGGCAGAAGCTGGCCCAGCAAAGCTGAGGAGGAATATGAGGAATGGGAGGACCACGAGGGATAGCATTGGCGAGCTCGATAATTGTCGGCGATTTAAGAACGCCATGATCTATGTTTAGGCTCCGGGCTGCGGGAGTCAGCTAAATTGCTGATTCAGGGAGTTGCTTGCAATTTCAATTGGGATAAATTACCCTTTTGCACACATATACAGACAAATTGACAGATATTTAATCACTCTACCGGTTTGCCAAATAGTGTGTTGGGGTTCGGGCTAGCTTTGCGCCAGAGGGATGGTCGGATGGAGCTATGGGATTGCACGAGATTGCTGTTGGTTTGGGCGATAGGTAGTGGAGAGAATGAACAGGAAAAGAAAATCAGAAAAATGACTCAAAATTAGGCCATTTGAAAGCAAAGGGATACTGTGGCCACTTGTCAGTAACGTAACTTGAAGCCTAAAAGAGCTGTTGGATGAGGACACGGGTCATCATGCAAACACACCAGGCGATGTTTGAAGTTTGCACTTCTTATCGTTATCGCATTATGTCACAGCCCTAATTTTGAGCAGGGCTGAATTGTATACTAGACGACTTGTGAATGTTCGAAATTATAATCATGATGGAAATTGTAGATAAATGTGAATAAACATCAATGCATAGACTAATGTATATATGACTAGAATTAGGGTTCCATAATCATGGATAAGGAGCGTCAAGTCGTCAAAGAAACTCATTAATAACCATCATGCCGGAATCATTTAAGACCGGATATTTTCGAATACGATTCTTTTTTTGAATGTTTTTGTAAAGTTTTTTTGTGTCCGTCAAAATGATCATCCGGTTTGTCACAAGCCACTGCCAAGAGATATGATATCATATCCTGTCTGACATGTCAACTTCCGTGTAGATCAATTAGAGCAGAGCAAACAGTAGAACTAAGCCAGGGATGAAAATTGCAGCCGACTTCTGGAGAGCTGGAGAACTGTTAAAAGCAGGCGAGGAGGAAGCAGGGGGAGCGGAGGTGGAAGAAGTAACAGGGCTCGACTGTGCCGGGGCAGTAGGCTCAGTAGCTGGAACACCAGGTTGAGTAGCTGGAGCAGTGGTCTCAGTAGCTGGAACACTAGGCTGCGTAGCCGGGATAGTGGACTCAGTAGTCGGGGCGCTGGGCTTAGTGGCTGGAACAGTAGTCTCAGTAGCTGGAGGAGGCACTACGACAGAAGTTGTGGAAACAACAGGGGGAGTCGTATGCTTGGTGGGAGGGGCTGTGGGCTGAGTGCAACCCTCAGTGCAGGTAGAAACAGACGTCACAGTGATCGTGCTGGTCTGGGTCACGGGGTGGGTGTAGGTTGACGTGCCGCTTGTGACGGTGCTCCAGGTTACTGGTCTTATTAGCAATTTTAATTGATAGAACAGTCAGAATTTCACTTACTTGGGCAGGTAGTCGTGGTGTAGGTGGTGGTTACGATAACCGGAGGAGTGCCAGTGGGGGTCTCGGTCTCACAGGGAGTGGTAGAAGCGGGAGGAGGCGTGGTGGGAGTCTCGGTATGGCCAGTCGTAGTGCTAACAGGAGGAGACGAGGTCGGAGTGTCGGTCTCGCAGGGAGTCGAGCTCGCAGGAGGAGAAGTGGGAGTGTCGGTCTCGCAGGGAGTGGTAGAAGCGGGAGGAGGCGAGGTAGGAGTCTCAGTATGGCCAGTCGTAGTGCTAACAGGAGGAGACGAGGTCGGAGTGTCGGTCTCGCAGGGAGTCGAGCTCGCAGGAGGAGAAGTGGGAGTGTCGGTCTCGCAGGGAGTGGTAGAAGCGGGAGGAGGCGTGGTAGGAGTGTCGGTCTCGCAGGGAGTGGTAGAAGTGGGAGGAGGCGAGGTAGGAGTGTCGGTCTCGCAGGGAGTGGTAGAAGCGGGAGGAGGTGTGGTGGGAGTCTCAGTATGGCCAGTCGTAGTGCTAACAGGAGGAGGCGAGGTAGGAGTGTCGGTCTCGCAGGGAGTTGAGCTTGCAGGAGGAGCAGTGGGGGTATCAGTCTCGCAGGGAGTTGACGTCGGTGTCGTATAGGGAGGCAGAGTTGGAGGCAAAGTCGTGGTATCAGTCTCACATGGGGTCGAGGTAGGTGTCACAACCGGGGGAGTAGTAGGCGCCACAACTGGGGGAATAGTAGGCGTGTCCGTCTCACACGGGGTAGAGGTCTCAATAGGCGGGGGAGTCTCAACAGGTGTCGAGGTGGGCGTCACACCTGGGGGAATAGTAGGCGTGCCGGTCTCGACAGGCGGGGAAGTCTCAAAAGGCGGAGGGGTCTCAGTCTCGCGGGGAGTGGTCTCTTCTGGGGGACCACTGCCGCCGTGGCCACCATCACCGTGACCTCCATGGTCACCGCCCCACAAAGGACCACCGTCGCCATGGTCGTCACCACCGCCGCGGACAGCAATATGAGCCTCGCCAGCGTGTCTGGGGGTGATGACCATGCCAGACGCCAAGGTAGCGGCGTAGAGCAGAAAAATTAGAGAACCCCGCATCTTGACTAGCAAACGAATGGTTGTTATATACTGGAATAGCTAGGGCTGATATGTTCCTTGAAACGAAGGACGATAGGAACCGTAGCGAGAGAGTTCCTAAGCAGGCAATATAGACAATTGGAATATTTCTAGGACTGAGGCTGGGAGCAGATGGGGAAATAGGGCAGGTTTATATGTGCCTCTAGGGTCAGGTCTCCTCAGAGCTCCAATTCCTGTTTGGTCGACTCACTTGATAGCTCTGTTCTGTTGACCATTAGGCTAATGTGGACCAACCGGTACCATATTGGGCACTCAGAATAGAAAGTCAGAAAGAAAAAAAAAGGTGGCGCTCATATTCTAACGCCAACCGGAACTGACATAAACGACCAGTATTCAGTAGTCGACCGGCATATTCCCAGCCAAGAGGCTGGTCATGGAATATGGTGTACCAGAACCTGGATGCAGAGGAAAGAACTAGCGCATGTACACGGGCCCGGTTGACTAGACGACCAGGTACTAGGGTTGAACCAATGATAACTTGACAAGGTCTCAGATATTGGCGCGTGGTTTGTCGATGCCAAAAATCAGAGTTGGAATATCCAAAGTCAAAGTGTCCAGAGCCCGATGGATGGATGGATGGGCGGATCAGCCAATTGACTCTGATGATGCAGGTCGGTTCTTGGCAATGCGGGAGATAGCTCTGGGATTTTCCGTCAGAGTACCGAGTACGTGTCCCGCTTCTGTCTTTTTTTTTTTTTGTTGGTTTCCCTTTGTCTTGATCCTCCATGGTGATATGAAGTCGGGTACGAAAAATGTCTCCTCACGTCATGAGACCGAGCTATGAATAACTCTTAAGTTCGGCCCACAACCCCATTTGTCCAAGTAAATGTGTGGGGAAACACCACGAATGACCGTAGAAATTGGAACTTTGTCTAGAGCAAAGTAAGTGGGAGTAAACCTTGGAAGTTTGGTAAGGCATAAAAAAAAGAATATGGAGCAGTGACCCGATATCGGTGATGTCCCGTCTACAGTCTGGGCTTGGGTCATCAGGGTCTATTCCAGACCGGGCGACGGCCATAAAACGGCCGATCAATTTTCTGTGGATCTGTGTTGGCAAATGTGAGTACACAGTGTTGTTGGAGCAGAGTACGGGGCAGTCACAATGTAGTGCCCCTGGACAAGTGTCTAATGCAGGACAGTGGATATTGTGGGACACGCCCTGGCGGCCCTGAGGGGGGGGGGGGAGGATTTTTCTTTGTCTTTTTTCTTTTTTCTTTTTCTTTTTCTTTTTCTTTTTCTTTTTTTTTTTTCCCCCGTAAACTAAAACCTGGGAAGTTCCTGGGGCCCCCGCGATTGGCGTGATCTGGATACCCCCCTATGGATCCCACATAGTGATGATGTCAACGTATTGTTTACTCTTCCATTTTTCTCTGTCTTTTGTTTCCCTTTTGATCTTGTTTTTGCCCTGAGATCTTCTCGTTTCCCCATTTCCAATGTTCATTCCCTACATCTGACACAATATGGTTGTTTCGGAACTCATAGGACTACTCTATTCTTCCACAGTTGTATGATAGGAAGTTAATCTACTAATCTATTTTAACCTTCTCCCAGTCTAGACTATTGGAACTTTCAATTCGACTGGTGACGCGCCCAATCTTATTTTGACAAGAAAAAAGGAATAAAGGCGGGGTTAGATGAGCTGTTGGATTTGGAGAAGAACCCTACTTGTCTGTCTCCATAGCATCCATAGTATGTCTTCCAAGGATAAAGATTCAAGATACCTCGGAAGTATCCAAAATTAGTATACATGTCTTAAACGCTAAAGGCTCGGGGCCTTGAGGAAAGATACTTTACACATGGCCTTACGCCACAGAATCATTCCAGGTCTTTTCCGGGGTACTCAGTGGTGGTGTTGCATACTCCGTATCTTGGACCTAAGTACTTGATTTCCTCTGCTGCTTCTTGGAATTCCATTTCCGTCTTAGTGCTCAGTCCTTGTCGCTTTTTGCTCACTAAGTACAACTGAGCACGATATTTGTTCTATATTATAGAAATTGATTGCCTTGAACCTTACGTCATATCAGGCTACATTATGAAAGTTAAGGTAACACGATATATATATTTAGATCGATACCTAAGGTCTAAGGGGTTCTATCTTTATGGCAATCCGGCAGTAATATTCGTTATAAGTCGTCCGACTAATTTGATTATAGAAACCTAATAGGGAGTAATAAGAGTAAGTAAGGTTCTATAAATATAGCCATAGGTAGCGGGCTATCTATTACTCTAACGCTCTAACTACTACTAATTCGGATATTATTAGATAGAAATATTCGTCCTAATATATCGGAAGATATGGATTTGCTGAATACCGATGACAGATAGGTGTTGATCATTAGCGTTGAGCGACAAAGCCCTGTGGGAATTCACCCACCCACTCTGAAAGCGGTTAATATCTGTATGTTGTAAGCCTGGGCACTCATACCATCATACCTAGGTAATCATTATACGTGACTAAATTAAGCATGATCACAGATACAAGCGCGTGGTAACATGGATCTATTTGGTGAGCCTGAACCTGAGCATCCTTAAAAAGCGGCAGCCCAAATAGGAAAGCGGGAAAGTCCGGTACGTATAGATACATCATGTACGCATTATGAGGTAACACACATCCTAGGTAGGTGCCTATATAGACCTCCAGGGCTCTTTTTAACATCTTAAGTCGTCTGCTCCTTCCTGGATACTCTACTCATAGTAGGAAAGCAAGGATACTTCGAAACAATGCCTGGGTCCAAACGCGTCAGATATGGAAGGGACGTGGAAGGCTTCCTGGACGGCCTGCCTCCTTCCACGAACAGATATACCTACGAAGGGAAAGAACAATTTGAGGAAATCGCAAGACTTGAATATCACCGCCTAGAACACTCGTTACGCCATCTCCAGTCTGAACCATTCGATAGCTCTCTTGACATATCAGAATACTTTGTTATAATAATCGACGCGCCCTCGTTCCCGGAGAGACTTTTCCCTCAAGCTAAACGTTGGCGTTCGTGAGTTCTATAACCCGACACTTCACATATTGATTTTGAAAATGATTTTGCCCGAGCATTCTGAGGTTAGCGGAGTATTTCACGATGCAGTAATGGAAGCTTTGCGGCCCATGGGGCTTAATAAAGCAGCAATCCTCAGATATGGAGGGGCAAGCACCAATGTCGGCGGCGGAAACACGAAACAGCCGGACTGGGGCTGGGGCCCCAGGCGGCGTCCTCGTGGTGTTGCGGACCGGCCCTCGGTAGTCCTGGAGGTTGGCCTTTCAGAGCCCGAAACAAAATTGCGCAACGACGCAAGAATGTGGGTGGATCCCACCAGGGGGGAAGCAAACATGGCCATCACCATCAAAGTCAACCGCCGGAGGCCCATGATCACAATCCAGACGTGGGAATGGGATTCCAATTCCCAGCGGCCCCATGTCACACAATCCTGTGTGATAGAGAAGACTGACGACAATATCACCGTCTCGCAACACACTCTAACCATCCCATTCAATCTGCTCCTCCTCCGAGCTCCTTCTATTCCTCGAGAGACTGATATCCGATTACAAAAGCAGGACCTTATAGAAATTGGAACTGGGGTCTGGGAGATGCAAAAGCTGTGATTCTTATTGACAGCGCCGAAACGGCCACATCACATTGAACTCTTCATCATCGACGGCTAAGCCGGGAGCCCAAATGGCGTTGATCTTACAGGTTTTGCTTGTATTCATCTCTATGCTGCATCGCTTCGTCTAGGTCTCGGGACGAGACCTTTGCGAGGGGCAGCACCTGTTACCATCACGTGGATGACGACCTTTTAGCTAGCATTGAGATAGCGTCAAGAAACAGGGTGTTAAGTGGGAAAAATACAGCCTATGTTACCACTAGACCATAACAAAAACCTCGGTTCCTGTATGTATCTGAGCAGCTCACTGAGTCTGAGCCCGGACTGAGATTTACTCATTGAGCCTGACTCTGAGCGCCCTCGTAAAAGCGGCGACAGCTAAGATAGAAAAGCCCCACCCGGCAGAGGAAGTCAAGTACGTATAGCTACCTGCGTAATGGGAGGCTGTCATTTTTAGATTGCGATGATATCAACATATGTTTTTAGTCTAGTCGTCCTCATCGTCCGAGCCGCTACTCCACCCCGTCTCGTAGTACTCTCGAATCTCGCCAAGTCCATTTACCATGGCCTCACGCTCATCGACTGAGACCAAACGTCCGACAGTTGCCGAGATAGCCTTGATCCTCTGAGCTGTCCTTGTCGAGGCGGTCAATGCGGTAAACACATTTACTCCAGTACCTGCCTCGGGTGTGGGGAACATGTCGTGCGGGAAACTGTCAAGAATGGGCATGCTGAGTGGCGTGTGGAAACTGTAATGGTGGTATAGAATGTGAGAATCCTGGCTGAGACAGGGAAATTAAATGTGCAAAATGGGGAAACCTACCTTTGCAGCATCGACTCTGAGTTGTACCGTCTAAGTTTGCGAAGGTACCCAATGTCTGTGTCCTCGGTGGACTCACTGTCCCTTTCCGGTTCTTCTCCACGGGTTACTTGGACTTGATTGAAGATGTGAGCGCCCTTGCTGTGCTCGCCGTCATAGGTGAAGTCAATGTCAAATTCAATTTCAGCTTTCGTCGGCTCATCCTCATTGGGGGCTTCCTTGGTTTGACCGTCAGTGATTTTGATTTTATTGATAGAAGATTGCAATTCGAAGATGGTGTGCGTGCCATCTTCCCCAGCGAGGGAGGCCTCAAAATGCTGATATGGCCGCAATCGGGAAGGCAGTGTGACCGTCTCAATAGCCGAGGCCAGCAAGGCTGTTTTCTGCCATTCTGATTGGCGATCAACATTGAGGTAGCCGGGCAGGTTATGCGGAACGTCGATAATTGGAGAATAGAGCGAGGCCAGTGGGGAGATCGAGCAGAGTGACCTGGCCTTGTTCGTATCCTTTTTGAACTGGTGATGCTATACAAAGTTCGAAACTTAGCCAGCCGAGCTCGCGATTTTTCTCAAAATGGCACCACTGCGTCACTTACCCGTTGGGTCCGGGTGCCGTCTTCAATAGCCCACATCCAAATACTTTTCTTGCCGAATTCATCCCTTAGTCTTTCCATATACTGGGCAGCGAATCCGCCCCAGGCATCATCTGACCCGGAGAACAGTTGTAGCGCCCGCAAATGGTCACATTCTTCAAGGAGAGGTCTCAGGTCACGGTCAAGCAGGTCATACTCCTTATCAAGATCTTTGAATAACTCTTCCCCGACATTCCAATCCTCAAATGGCATGGTCTGGGAGTTTAAGTCATATTCATTTAGCTGAACAATGGACCTCGGATGATAGTACACTCTGTTGTAGTCTGACCAGTAGCGTACAGACTCTGAGGTCAGGCGAGGGGCTGTAGTTCCCAGGTCCAAGCTTTTCTGATATTCACTTTGTTGGATTGGAGTTTGCTTTTGGACTATCTCCCGTCCATCCCTACCAGATATTAGTTTGAAAAACGTGTCCATCGATTTGAGCCGCATACCATAATCCTTGGCCAGCTGTGGAGTCTTCACTGAGCTCGTAAAGTGCATTGTATCTGCGTAATGTTCCAAATCCGCCCTTCAGATCATAGATTACTGTGCGTGGAGTATAAGTCTCAGAGCCATCTGCTCCAACACCCGGTCGAAAGTGAACGTCGTGATCAACATCAGACTGTTCTCCATCGTTGTATGTAAAGTATGATTCCTAGTTATATATCAGACAGAAGTTCGCCTCCGACGGTAGATGACAGTACCTGCAGATTCCAAAAGTGTGTGGCTAGATAGTTAGCCCGCTGGCCAAGCTGAAGTGTGACAATTTCATGCATATTGATAGATGAAAATGATAAACTCGCAGTCGAGCCCCTCAGTAAATTTTGATATCGACAATGCCCGGCTAAAGACGCACAGACATAGCCAAAAGTGACGCTAGTCCTGATGTGGGGGTGTACCGCACGTGAATGTCTAACCATATCTGGGAAGGTGTAGAGAGTCACCAGGGCAACAGTCACATGATCCTTCCAAAGAGGGCAATAAACATGTTTCTGTGGGTGCGTCACCACCCTAACTCCACAACGGTGATTTTCCCTCGTGAAGCTACCTCCTCAGTCCTGTGATGATTCTTTGACCTTGTGATCTTCATCGGTTGGATCCATTACTTGTCAAGTATCTGCGATGGAGTCTCCAACACGTCCCATCCTGAGCCCCTCAAAAGCGCTGAATCCGGTTTCGCCGGAACGCATGAATCAACAAAACATACCCGCGTCTCCCTCACTACCTACCGATCTTCTCACACTACACCACAAGAGCACCCGAGGTGTTTCAGAAGTCCAAGCCAAAGTGGCGTTTCTAAACGGTCTCTCTCGAGGAGGCAGCCCTGCCAACTCTGCAGCAAACAATGCCTCTTTACAACGGGCTATCCTGGGCCGCGAGGAAGCCGAGTCCGCCCTAGCCACCGCACAAGAAGATTTATCCGAAGCACAGACACGAGAACGCCGGATCAGTGAACGCCTCGAGTCATTGCTGGAAGAGTTACACGGGACGAAAGAACGTCAGGTCCACGAACGATCAATTTTCGAAAAAGAAATCCGAAAAGCCCGGAAGGAAGCTTTTCGGGCTGGATCGACCTTGGTCAAACTTCAAGAAGAATTGAAGCACGCGAAATCAGAGGTCAGAGCACTGAAAGATGAAGTGGGGGCAGAACGCGAGGCGAAGGACAAGGCCAAACAGGAAGCATTCGAACGTGCCTATGCTCTGGCTGGTCTTACAGAGGAACTCGAAGTCCTGAAAGAGAAATTTCGTGCCCTCGAAACAGAAAACCACTCAAGCACCCTCGAAGTCCGCGCCCATGAGATTCGGAAACAAGACTTCGCAAGACTGTCAATAGCAGAGGGCGACCTCGCGTTTTTGACCACCCCGCGCAGACCGAAGCGAACCGCTGCGGGATCTGTTCGATCCCCAGCTCCGACACGCGAAGAAGATCACGCAGAAGCCACTCCTCCAAAACGCCCACGTTTGTCGGACTTTGCACCGAAGACGGAGAGTGAACAACCCGAATCCGAGACGGCTGCTGAAGTGGACGAGGATCTGTTGGAGGAGATGAAGGAAGAGCTAGTCTTTGAGCGTCGTCGCAGAGTCGCAGCTGAAGATATGGTGCATTTCCTGAACATCGAGTGCCAGTTCGAACGATGCTCTTGCAGGCTTGCTGAGAGCCAAGGTCGTCGCTACATTTACGACGCTGATTACTATAACAACTTCCAAAAGCCTCAGATCGAGGCGGAAGAGAAAGCTCGTGCTCAGCAAGCTAGCATTCAACAAGCCGGTGTGCACCAAGCGCAGTCTCACCGAGCTAGCACCCCCGAGGCCAGCCCTCCCCCTCCTCCACCTCCCGTCCACCGATCTCCTGTTCACCAGGCCCCCACTCCCCAGATGAGATCTCCTCAACACAGCGTTCACCAGGAAGAACCCGAGCCAAGTCATACACCTCTGGCCGCGCCACCTGTTCCTGCCCACCAGCACACCGCGCCTAGTGTGAAGGCCGAACCCACAGATCTTCCCAAGATGCAGATGCCAGCTGAGCCCCTGGTTACATTTTCTCCAGAGACCGGCACATTTACGACCTTCCCATCTCCTCTCCGAGATAACGTCAGACCTCTGCGGTTGGATTTCTTGGACACACCCGATCTCGCCGAGCCCCAACCAGATGTCCACAAAGGTCATATCGATGCTTCTGTATCACCCGACCAACTGGTCGACTCGTTCACCCCATCTGGGGAGCCGGCTCGGGCTAGGATGCCTCGTCCCATCCCATCAGATGGTGTCGCCGAACACTCGCGTGCACCACTTTCCGTGGAGGCAAGGCCGTCGAGACGTGTCGAGAGAGATCTCCATGGATACCGCCAGCCCATCAACCCCCCAAAGAGAGCTCCTTCCCGACAAGAGCCACAGTCACACCGCACTTCACACCCTGGCGTTCCCGACACACCCATCGACCGCGAACAAGCACTCGCACAGATCAGGGCACGACGAGGCCGTACCCATAGCAAGCAGCGATCAGTCAGTGCCAGCGAGCCTGGCCGCGCAGCTCGTGCCTCAGCGGGATCCAACCCGACCCCTGCTCGGGGACCTCGACGCCTTCCCAACCCCAATCTTCGGGCTGATTCAAGGACCGAAAATGAACTTGGTGAACGCCGAGATATGAGTGCTCCTGTTCGGATGTTCCGACGTTAATGAATGCCCTGGGATGTATATCTCATGATGCATATTTATGTCTTTCTTTTGCATGGTCTGCCGGTGCTTGTCGTTTCCTCCAATACCCCCCGGCGCTGCATCAATTTGTCTTTATTTCATTTGCATGGCGATTGGAAGCAATATGTTTTTTTTTTTTATGTTTGGATCTTCCAGCTCCAATGTCATGAGCCTCGGTATACTACGGATTTAATTCCCCAACTGTCTGTCCTTCTTTTGATGCAATTTCGGCTTCACTGTCTGTGTCCCTCTTTTCACATTTCCTATGTCTGTCTCGTTTTTCTTCTTCTGTATATAGATTTTGATTGTTGTGAGAGAATTCTATCTTATCATGGTCGCAGTCTTCTTCGTCCCATAACCTTAGGTTTATCAAACGTTATACGTCCTTTGGCACATTCTAAGCTGTTTTTGTCGCCTATACTCTAGCTACAACAACAATAATGGGGAAATATCTAAAAAAAAGACCTTCGAAAAGACTTAAAATTTGTACCAAAAAAAAGTACCAAAAAAAAGTACCAAAAAATATGACCAAAAAATATGACAAGGCCAGCCAACTATTCTTATATCATATATATCAGAACTATAATCAAATGGCCGATATGGAAATTTATATGGGCCTACAATGTATAATATATGTCCGACAAGAAACAAGATCCTCTCATGAAGACCTTCACAAAAGGGATCTCAAAGATAAATCAGAGAACCAGCCTCTACAAAACCGAGATCCCACAACATCTAATCCTCGCACTATCAACCTTCGCGCCACGACCCCACCATAAAGAAACTAACTCCTCGACAAAGACACGGTCCGTCGCACTCCATACATCAAGCCCCATCTCTGCCATATCTGCCACCGTAATCGTGACAGTGTCATGCGAAGCATCGTCCCGGTGACCGGCTCTCGACCCATGGCTCGCAGACCCGCTCACACTCGACCGCTGCCGGAGCAAAGGCGAAGTCCCCTCGTCGCCGTGGATAGACTGACGGGACATGGAGAGTGAAGCATCGGTATCATCATCTTCATCGATATACGGCGCATCATTATACGAGTCGTCATCGAGGTCGCTATCATAGCGGGCGATGGCGCCAGCCAACGTAACGAAGATCTGCGACGTTAGACGGCGGAAGTACGCGACCAGCGCGACTTCGAGCGGCTGCTGCTCTTCCTGGAGGGGGTTGCGGAGTGGGTCGGTGTGGGATGTTGAGTTGTAGGGTGAGCGGGAGAGACTCTCGACGCTTGCCAGAAGGCGGGAGTCTTGTTCCATCTGCTGTTCTTCCTCTTCCTCCGAGAGACCATCGCGGTTCTCGCCGGCAGAGGCCCACCAGATGAAGGAGGTGTAGGCCAGTCGGGTCCAGGAGATAGGCTCGACGACGGCGCTGGAGGAATAGGTTGAGTCTGTGTCTGAGGGGTCTTGTGCTGGGGATGTGGGGCGGTCGTTGGAGAATTGGCGGAGTCCGCGGCGGAGCATTGCGTAGCGACGGGCGTCGCGCTGGGTTGCTTTTAGCTCGATTTGTTGGGCTTGGTTGGGTTTGCCGCCTGTGTTATGGACGAGGGAGATTTTGGGAAAGGCTCGCTCGGCGGTTTGTTGTGAGTATGGTGCGGGGAGGGTGACGAGAACGTCGAAGAGGTCGGGCTTCATGGTTAAGACGGTGTCGGTGGAGCAGGCGATCCAACTCGGATGTGTCTCGAGGTCTATGATGCTGCGCGATGGATCGAAGGAGGAAAGGTAGGGGATATCATGAATGCCGACGTTGAAGAGGGGGCGGGGGCGTAGTGGTGGTATGCGATCGTCGGGGAGTAGCTGCAGGAGGGAGTTTGGCAATGATGCCAAGAGAGATAGATCATATACTGGATCTGGATTAGCAGTAGATAGATTATAATGCGCATAGGAGCGTACCGTAGTTGCACGATGAGTGTACAGGAGCCTCGCCCATGAAGAGAATCCTCTTGCGCAGCAAAGCTGCTCTGTATAGGGGGAAGATCAAAGGTCCGAAGCACTCCGTAAAATCCGGAAGCGATGAAGCGGGGTGGAAGGGTGTCAGGGCCGGCCTGAACGATTCCAGCACCATTGCATCGCTGAAGGCGCGGTTGCGACTTGGGTGATCTGGTCGCTCGCCGGGTCGGAATCGAAGACTAAGAGGCGAGTCGAGGGGGGAATCAGGCGCTGCAGAATCGGTCCCTCCTATCCTATATGAGTCCCAGTAATCGCATAGATGCTGCATATCCGACATATTCTCGGCGTATTTCCTATCGAGCCCCAGTGTCAGTCGGGATCTCGTCCATCGCGGATGCCTAGAGATACGAACAGTGTCAGTTCCTTGAGTCTTGGAGCGTGTCGCCAGCTCTTCCCAAGTCTTCCGGTGCTGAGGGGTACCAGAACTCCGATCGCGAACATCTTCGCATTCCGTTCGGCCTCTGTGGCGGGATGATTGAGGAAAGCGCTAATACCGGCATACTGTTCATGGACGAAGTACCTAAAGGAGCGCGTCAGTAAAGATCAGATCCAAAGCTTTTTGGCACGCTAAAAAACATACACCAGGTCTTCAGTCACATTGTGCAGCCCAGAGGGCAGTGACTTGTATTCCACAACCCCTTCAACATCAACTATTCACTCGGGGGTCAGTATCGTGTGTCGGAGCGATTGTAGCCTCGGCTAGTAATTGATTGCTCACCTCCCGGTGCAGTTCGCTTCCACGAGACGACATATCTATTGTCGCAGAATGTCAGCAAGAAGCTCCTAAGCTTGAGAGATGCGATGCCCAGGGGAGGGAGTAGGAATTACCCGGCTCTGATGTCGAAGCTAATGACGAACAAGGCGGCAATGGCTGGTGGCGACTCCATAATGGAATGTGGGACGTCAATGCCCAAAGGCCTAGGAGATTCAGATACCATTGTTAAGGAGAATCATGGGGTGCGACGCCATTCAAGCTATGTCGGGGAATCACGGTAAGTTGAGGGGTGAGCCTTGTAAGGGGACCTTGGCTATGCGGAGTTGGTGCCTAAGGCAGCAACTCGGGTAACTATAACGACTTCGGACAAGCTAACCATTGACCATCTCTCGCCTTGGGCTTTCCGGTTATAGAAATATACATTTATCACCTTAGTGTCACTCGGAAATAAACCTTCGATGTAACAGTGAGACTTTGACTCCGCTTCTTGTTCCTCAGATATTCCCACTCAGCTTAGATCGAGCCCCGATCGACGATCCCTAGAACAACTTGGCAATCGAATATAATCATTCAAAAAAGCCTACAAACCGAAACGAGATCTTTACAACCTTAGGTCTAATTTAGAGGATGTTGAATAGTCCTTTGTCTGAAATATTGAGCACTGATCTACAACTCGGTCCTCCATCGTATGGAAACATCAATGCTGGTAATATATAATTGATGGTCATTATCAAATCAGCTCACTTGGTGACAATGAGTGCTGCTTCTGCTTCATTCCTACTGTCGACGGGGAGAGATTCATAATATTCAGCTAGAGGAATGGTTAATATAAAGCTTAGGCATTGTCAGAAGTGCATCGATTCCGGTTTTCCTGGCTTACAGCCCATTTCTAAAGGACTTCTATCCGACCACGGCAGCGCCCGTATGCTTCTGCGTCTTACCAGACTACAACTCTCCGCGGAGAAGCTGTCTGTCGGAAGGAGCTGGAAGAGAGGTGGTAGCGTTGGCCGTCTAGTGCTTATATAAAAACCTATAGCAGACATGACATCACACGGGGTAGGTCAATGTTTTAAAAAGAAATGTTCCCCGCAGAATATTGATTAGATCAAGACTATATAGCACAATATCTATTACAGTGATGGCTGTCACTGATTCCCCATAATTAGGCGTTTTCTTCACGAAGACTGGCCAGTTTCTCCTGGTCAAAGATACCAGGACCTGTGAGCTCGTTCTCCAAAGTTGAGATAGAAGGCACAAAGAAGTAATCACCTCCCCTTTGAACAACCCAGCTATCCAGGGGCATGCGGGCCTCGGTAGGATATTTGCCATCAGGGAGACCGATAGAGCGAGGCGGGTGGTGGTCCAGTCTCTGACCCACAAACGCATCAATACCCGGACCTTCACCACCGACAAAGTTGCTCTTGCGGTCGGGGAAGTGGTGGTTGCTTGCCCAGCCTGGAAAAAAAGGCCAAATGTTAGTGAGGCGCCTTGGTCAAACTTTATGCATGAGTTCAAGTTTCGAGTGCTTACGGGTAGTCAAGAAGTTGAATCCATTTCGGATGTCACTCTGGTAGCAGACGAACAGAAGCCCGCGTTCTTTGTCCGCGGCCGACTTTCGATCAGTCATTTCTTCGGCTGATACTTCCTCGCCATATGGAATTCCGCGACGGATAATAACAGCATGGTCGTGCTCCAAGTCGGCTCGTGGTCTCATTTTGCGGGTGTGTGCCGCGAAGGGACACTTGTTGTGCTCCTCAACAGGGTGGTAGTCGAAGTTGTTCGATGAGAAGAGGCTTTCGTCCGAGTCATCATGGGGAGACTCATCCACAGGGGTTCCTTTATATTGTTCAGCAAATTGTTGCGGAAACATTCAGTAGGTTTAGTTCTGCCACTAACCGTTCTTCCATCTTCCCATCAAGTACGCAGCAAGCTTTTCGGCTGGCTTGGGGTGGTCTTGAGCGAAAGGCGCATGCTTAGCATTTTCCTCCATGAACCTATAGACTCGGTTAATGCAAAACACGAAAAAGGAACAACCAGAGGTCACTTACTCGTCAAATTCAGGAACAAGTTGCTGGAGGTCACGGAAAACAAGGAAACTGCCATCTTTGGCCCATGCCGGTTGGCCCATAGGGTCGCCCTCATGCCCGCAAACAATCAATCTGCATTTCATCAGTTTGAGAATTCTTCGTTCAACGACTGTGAGAACACTTACCCTGACTTTGTGGCTTTGGGTTCCTTTCCCACGGGTTGCCTTTCATCCCAGCCCTCAATTATAGGCTGGCTGATTCCATCCTTGAATCCAAAGCTGAATATAAAGGTAAGTTTGACCCGTAAAGGCTCCCTGGCGTTGAATAAGTACTTACTGTTCTTTCCCTTTCATCGCGCCTGGGCGAACGTTCCCTTCTCTGGTCAGGGTCAACTCGATAGCAGGGTCCTTACTGAGGACATAGGTGTCTGGGTTGAGAGCTTCCCCCTCCTCGGCTAGGAAATGTTGCTTCACCTCGCTGATCTTGGTATCCAAATCACGCTTCAGGCTTGCGGTCACCATGATCACACCATCAATAAGTCTCTCGTCATTGCTGGTGGGCTTGTATTCCTCTCGAAGCTCCTGGGGGTTATCCCACCCCTCACCCACAAGATCTGCATACATGCCCTTTTCGAACAGTCCACCACGAAGTTGGTTATTCCGGAAGACTTTAGATAGCTCTCTGTCCTTTTTAACGAGGGTCTGATCCTTGACATTCACAAATGCTCCAAGCTATGAGTAGTGGCTTATCAGTATCTGCTATACGCTATTAAAAGCAGTTGAAAAACCTACTGCTTCGAGACCGGTCGAGGTAAAGGCAATGTTGATTCCAGGTAAGCCTTGAAGCTTAGCGGATCTCTTTGTGAGTTCGGCCTCCTGCTTTGCCTTCTTAATGATCTTGCTCATCTCACAGGCATCTTGGCCCGTTGTGATCTTGGGAATAAATGTTTTCAGGCGGTTCTTGAAATCAACTTGGTTTCGAACACGGAAGAAGAGGAACGATTGGAATCTTTTGGGGAGACCGGGCCTGACGAAAGTAAGTATTTTGAAAGACTATTCCAATATATGAACACTTACCAAACATCTCCCTGGATATTTGACTTGATAGCTGAAGTAAGACTCATGATGGAAAGTTGAACTCCTAAAGAGTGTACAATCCGGTGTCAATGAAGGCTACTTTTGAAACCATAAGGTTTGCCCTGAGGGGATGGGATAATTATATGAAAAGAAAGGGCTGGCTCGCCATCTTCTCACTCAACGATAATTTCATTTTCTGACGAAAAGAAAAAATAAAGGAAGCGGGCCAGGGCAGATCTCTGATTGAACCGCACGTAGCATCCAGCCACCGGATCAGATCGCCCATTACGGAGTAGACATGGAGCCAATAGCAATTGTCAATCATGGCCAGATTCAGCCGTGCGGGCATCTCTGGGGCGAGAAGGAAATGGCATACTCCATATTACACCGTGACCATTATTGACTTTCGTTTGTGAACTCATTGCCCCACAGGTCACTAATCGAATGTATTCCTAATCCAGAGATGATCATAGGGTCGCGTTTCTCCAGATAGCAGAGATCAACATAGCCCACTTTCCAGTCATATTTGAAGAGTGGGTCACCTTCGAGCAAATGAGACAACTTATTTTATAATATCTGGAACATCACGGTTGATGCTGGCTAGTGCATAAAACAGCACGCTGGCTGCAGGAGTGGAGGTCTCCGAATATCCAGATCTGGCAATGTAAGATGTACATCGATGCACATCGTACAGATCTCTACCCCGTACAGAGTACATATGTAAGCTTCAGCTGCGATCTACCTATCTGCATCTGAATGAGGGGTCGATGATATCAACTCAACATTTTAGTCGATTAAAGGGCATAAAACAAGTCGCTGCAGTCAATTGTTTAGGTACGGTTTAATACCGTATACAGAGCGCGCTGACCCAACAATTTGAAATAATCGCAGGAAAATGATGAAGTTGAGAGATGTGGGGCAGACAGCTTTCAGCTTTCCACTTTCCACTTGACAAATTATTGGTCCATTTCGCACTCAATATGTAACTCACATCTGCAGGAATCTAGTGCATATGGCAGAATATCGCCAATAATTACCAAAGATAGAGACTCAGCTGAAGTGGTCTTCCACCTACGTGATGTTACGATTGAAAGTCAGTAAGATTTCGCTTCAAATTAGCGCTTGGTGAATCCATGGATGGCTCAGCGGAAGCGGGCCGGGCTCCACCAACTTGCCACTAGCACGAACTATCTACCCGAGGGCGGGGCTTCCAAGGTTGTACGGCCAAAACTTGTCGCCATGGGTCGGTGATCGAATATTGACCAATTGGAGACTCACAATTTGGTGTTGTAAAATTACTGCACGTCGATCATAGGTGAGAAAGGAACCACAAATAGGGAGTATATGATAGATAGGTACGATGGGTCATGTCTGTAACATGCAAGCTAGGAATGACCTTCGCCCAGCCGAACTACCTAGGTACCTACATATCCAGCTCGGGGTGGGCTTGCATACCGTGCCTTACACCGGAGAACGCCGATCATTGACTTGTCACCGAGCATCGCCGACCGGGTCCAATCTTTTGGGGACCTTTCTTCACCGATCTAAAAAGGAGTGCCCAGTCACGTCGCACTACGAAGGTGGGTCCAGACACTCACTGACATCTATCTCTTTGTTGATCTTCAGCAATACTGAAATAGACACTTGACTGGTGGAAAGCACCCCCACCTGCCCCTCAAGAGATCCAGCTAAAATGATATAGTTTGTGTAATATTGGCAAAGGCTATTGCCAATTACTCTGTGCAGAAAATCACTTGGATTTGAAATGGCAGTAGCGGTCCGCCCCAGCCGGAGTATGCCGAGTACTGCACGTATATGTATGTGCCGTCAGTCACGTCAAGAGTTTCATTTAATACAGGTGAAGTGAGCCTTTCCTTTCTACTTCTCTTTCACACTCTCTTTCACATTCTCTTTCCGCTTCGATAAGTTTCGCCCAATATGAAGCTTCAATGGGCTGGCCTCTTCCTTGGGGCTTCCATTGGTGGAGTCAACGGTATGGCCAAGTACATGCACGAAGCTATGAGAGGAGAGCGTGTTTCTGGCTATGGCAAATCCGACAACCCCTCCTTCGTACCGGAGTTCAAAGATGAATCTCCTCCTTATCAAGGTCACCGGATCCCCCGCCAAGACTGGACCTTGACATGCAGCAGCTCCGCTCGTGGCTTCCCTTGCAAAAATGCGATCGATGGCAAGAGCGGTACTGCATGGCGCAGCGACCCCTCTGACAAGGGACATACTTTCATTGTTGATCTTGGGGCGTGGTACCAAGTGGGCGCCGTCGTTGTTCTTCCTCCAACTGACACAGGTACGGAAGGCCTCATTACCCAGCACAAGGTTTGGGTCAGCGAAGATCATGAAACCTGGACTGGGCCTGTCGCATATGGAATGTGGCCCGATACAAACAGACAGCGAATGTCTGCGTTTGAGCCCTCCTCTACCAGATTCCTCAGAATCACTACCGATGCCGATGAGCAAAACCCTTGGATCGGTATCGCTGAACTCAACATCTATGGAACTTTGTACACCATTCCTCGTGACCCCGCTCTTGGTGTCTGGGGGCCGACTCTTGATTTCCCCATTGTGCCTGTCTCCGGTGCTCAGGAGGGATCTGGCATGCTTGCTCTTTGGTCCTCTTGGGCCGATGACCAATTCCATTCGACGCCCGGAGGAAAAACCGTCATGACCCGATGGAACGCCTTGACTGGCGAGGTCTCTAAGCGCACCGTCAGCAACACACACCATGACATGTTCTGCCCCGGAATTTCCTATGACGGCACCGGCATGATGGTTGTGACTGGTGGCAATGACGCGTCCGAGACTAGTCTGTATGATTCTGTCAATGATGAGTGGGTCCGCGCAGCCGAAATGCAACTCCGCCGTGGATACCAGGCTTCTACCACTCTCTCCGATGGACGTGTCTTCGTCATTGGAGGTTCGTGGGCTGGAGGTTCGAACGTTGAAAAGGATGGCGAGGTTTATGACCCTGCTACCCGGAACTGGACCATGCTTCCTGACGCAAAGGTCAGCAAGATGTTGACTGAGGATATGGAAGGTCCCTGGCGATCGGACAACCATGGCTGGCTCTTCGGTTGGAAGAATTTGAGTGTATTCCAAGCTGGGCCTAGCAAAAATATGAATTGGTACTCCGCTCATGCCAATGGAACTACTGAGCCGGCAGGAAGTCGTATGCAGGATGATGATTCTATGTCCGGTAACGCCGTCATGTTCGATGCCGTTAAGGGAAAGATCCTTACTCTCGGTGGTTCCCCTGATTATGATAAGTCATGGGCCACAAACGCTGCTCACATTATCACTATTGGCGAACCGAATCAGCCGCCGAAGGTTCAACCGGCCGGAGGAGGCACTATGCACCATGAGCGTGTGTTCCACACCAGCGTCGTTCTCCCCGATGGAAAAGTCGCCATCTTCGGTGGTCAGCAGTTCGGCATTGCGTTTAACGAGGAAAATGTCCAATTTGTTCCTGAAATCTATGACCCTGCAACCGACACTTTCACGAAGCTCCAGCAGAACAATGTTGTGAGAGTATACCACACTGTGTCAATCCTCCTCCCAGATGCTCGAGTATTGAATGCAGGTGGTGGCCTCTGTGGCAACTGCACAGCCAACCACTATGATGGTCAGATCTTTACACCCCCCTACCTCCTTTCTGCTTCAGGCCGGCCCCGTCCCCGTCCCGAGATTATCTCAGACCTGCAAGATCATGTCTTGGTTGGTAGCACCCTGAGATTCACGACCTCCGGCCGGATCTCGGCAGCTTCCCTGATCCGTCTGGGCACAGCCACCCACACTGTCAACACTGATCAACGCCGAATTCCACTTGATGTCACTCGTACAAGAATATTCGGGAATACCTGGAAGACTACCCTGCCAAAGGACTCGGGTATTCTGATTCCTGGATACTGGATGCTGTTTGTTATGGACCGAGATGGCGTGCCTAGCATCGCAAAGATTATGATGATTGGCTTGGACAGCACAAAGACTATCCAGCCTGCAGAGGAGCCGCTAGGTGAGATGGATGAACAGAAATGTGAGCATAAATTACTCCACCTCCTTGGTCAACTTTTGTGACCACCACTAACTTGTACAGACGTTGGGTCGTTTATGAGAGTCGAGTTGCTGAAGAGAAAGTGGTTTTAAGCCAAGCCGGTATATTTGAAGTGTCCGAAAGTTGATAGTGTCACTTTGAGTCTCTTGCAGTAAACACAGTGTTTATTACTTTCAAAGCTATAAAGACTTGAGTCTGACAATTTACCTCAAATCTCAAGCTCGAAATATGGGTTTGCCGTATTCCTAAGGATAGAGAAATCATAAAAGTATAATCGGATAGACCTTTCCTCTGTCTGCTCCGACTAATATAAATAATCTCCCATGCTTTCTCCATGTTCAGGAGCGCCACGAACTCTATGACGGGTTAGTTGATCCCTGCTGGGGGCCGATAGACCTTCAGACTGCAGAAGTCGAGCGAGATAGTCTAGCTCTGTCTCCCCCTTGGCTATCAAAGATTTGTCTAATTGGGATCGCGGCTTAACGAGAGGCATATGGGCCAGAGATAGAAGCCCACTGGGCTTTTGTGGGGGCCCAATGGTCCCTCACAATGCATATATGCCGAGAAATCGAGATGTCAAGTAAAGTTGAACCCCCTTTTTAGTTTTTTTCTTAATTACCCTATATTTAGCACCGTTTCTTACTATTATACCTAAGGTAACATTTTATTATAACCAATTATTCAGAATCAGTTACTAGTTATATTTGTATATCACGTTTAAAAACGCGGAAAAATACGTTGACTTACACATGATTTAAAAATTACAGAGGTTCACCAAAAAAGCAGTAGTGCTTCTATAACTATAAATCCCAAACATATTTCTTGTAGTATCTCGACTTCCGCCGGTCGGATTTCGTTTTCAAAGTTGGAATACATATTTGGATATCTGTTATGATGTAATATTCTAAATTTGAACTCCATACGATCGGTGGAAGGTCGTAATATAGCAATTACAGAGGCCGATTTATTAGCGCCGAGATAGGCTTTGGACGTCGGGCCCTTTTATGGGCTTTGCGAAGGTCAACCCAGGAGCCCACCTCACCTGTCCAAGTGATGGCCGAGCATCTCCAAGTTTCCCACGTGGTTCCGTCCCTGCCGCCCTTGTCCAAGCTACGCCGCAGATCCACCCCCACTAGAACTCAACCACGGCAACCGCCTTGACCTCGACGATCATCCGCGTGTCGGGAAGCTCCCTGACCCCGATGGTGGCCCGCGCAGGCGCGCTAGCACGATCGGCGAAGACCTTGTTCCACTCCTCGTTCATACCTGCGTACTGTGACTCCATGTCCAGGATGTATACCACAGCGTCGATGACGTTGTGAATGCCTCCCTTGCCGCCCGAAGCGCCCTTGATGATGACGTCGACGTTGGCGAGCACCGCAGCCGTCTGCTTGCGAATGTCCAGGGTCTGTGTGCCGTCGGCATTCTTAGTGACGCCCTCCCAGGTGCCGTCGGGTCGGATGCACGCCGTGCCCGAGACATAGATGGTCTTGTGCGTCGAGGTTGGTGGCGCGATACGGGCCTGGGGGAACCGCGTCGGACCCTCGGGCAGGTCGGGATTGCTAAGGAAAGCTTGACCGTTCGGAGACATTGTGGTGTAGTTCGTGAGACTAAACGATGGAAGTTTGTATTTGAGAGGTACGAAAAAAAAAGGAATATTGACTTGTTTGAGTATGATAGCTGCTGTACATGACCTCGTCTCCTCTCTCGACTCTACTCTAAATACTCGAATACTGGGCCAAGAGCATCCTCAACGGCCCAGGATCATCAACTATCGCTCACCCCGCCTCTTGATGCCCTATCGCGGATGGACCGTGATAACTATCTGCCACGAGGCGAGGTCGGGATTCGCGATCCGACTTTACAAATGTGTCGGGATGTCCGACTCGTGTTTACCAGGCCGACTCCGAAGCCTGCACTTGATATGCCTGACACTTGGTGAGTGCAGCGGTGCGAGCTAAGACAACGGACTACCAGTGCCGGCGTCTGGAGCCAACCAAATATACCAAGTAGTCACCTCAGTCCGAATAACAGCTGCGCCGAGACCTAGATGCTGTATAAGTAGTTACTACACTCAAAGCGCACGAAGATGGCCGACATAATAACCCAGCTCTATGAGATCCCCACCTTCTCCTTCCAGGATGGGACCACTCTACCTTTGGCCCGCCTGGCCTATCTGGACCTAAACCCAGGTGCGTCGAAAACTGCCCTGATCATCACCTGTTTCCGCGGCCGTCTAAAGTCCACCCCGACCTTTGCGGATGGCGCGCTCCGAGATCACAGGATCATCGTCGTGGCGCTCTTCGGAAACGGCGAATCGTCGAGCCCCTCCAATACCCCGGGTTTCCCGAGCGTCATCAACTACCGCGACTGTGTCCGCGCCCAGCATGAGCTCCTCATTGCCCACAAGGTCCAGTCGCTCAACGTCGTCGTCGGCTTCTCCATGGGCGGCCAGTGTGCCTACCACTGGACCCTGATGTACCCGGACCTCGTCCAGAGCGCTGTCGTGATCTGCTCATCGGCACGGACCGGCCCGCACAACTACCAGTTCCTCGAAGGGCCCAAGGCGGCGCTGCAGAATGCCGTCGACTACATCGACAAGGGCCGCGCCCCACCGCCGGCAACGGGCATTTCCCGGGGTGTTCATGCCTTCGGCAAGGCCTACTCCGCCTGGCTGACGAGCGCCGAGTGGTTCGACCAGCAGGCATACAGGTCTCTCGGGTACGCGGCCCTCGGAGACTGGGACTGCGACGTGACGGGAGTGAACTATGCCGGGTGGGATCCTGACGACCTGCTTGCCATGCTGCATATGTGGCAGAGCGGCGACGTCAGCACCTTGGTAGATAACGAGGGAGGCAGCGAGGGTGGCGAGGGGTCGTTGGAGAGCGCACTCTCCCGGATCAGGGCGCGCGTGCTGCTGATGCCGTGCCAGACGGACCAGTATTTCCGCTGGGAGGCTAGCAAGAGGGAAGCCGGCTTTATCCCGGCGGCGACGCTGAAGGTCATTCCGTCTGTCTGGGGCCACCTAGCGGGGTCTGGCGTTAACAAGGCCGATGCGGAGTGGTTGGATCAAGCTATCACCGAGTTCTTTGCAAAGTAGATGTGGACTAGTCGATCTAGGGATCACATCAAGAGAAGTAGATTATTTACCCACTAGTGTACATCCTATTTGAGCTGGAATAGAATTGTGTTGCAATTCTTCATTCAAAAATGCGTGAAAAGAAGCTAGCTGGATATCAGTTCCCGTTCCATCTCAAATAAAGCAGCCGCATTGATAACCTGCTCATCCTTCCACCGCTTTCCGACCCGTTGGGACTCTAGCTTCCGCTCCCATTTCAGCGTCTCGGATAGGTAGGATCTCGGGGAGTGTAGCATTGATGCTCTGTGTACGATTGATGCGCTATGTACAGTATGCGGCGCGGGCTTCTTGAAGAATGGTCTCGTCGAAGAGTGGTGATTGTTACGACTGGATGTCACAGGTTGACCAATGTGAGCTCTGAGACGATATTGCAGGTGCACAGTATCTCCTGATAATCGTACAGGTGGAGAAGTAGATGAAAATGTCAGGAATTGGTAGGTTGGAACCTTCGAATCAGACAAAGTATGGGGGTTAAGTGTTTGAGGATCATTTGTCTGGATTCTGGACGAGACTTCCACAGAGCCCACAAAGCCCAGTGGGTTGGGTTGGGCTTTGGACGTTGGGCCCATTTATGGGCTTTGCGGAGGTCTATTCTGGACCATTGAGCAACGAACGCATGATAGGGCACATGGATCACATGATCTAGCAGAAAAAGACCTACATCAACCAACCAATCAGCCATCACTGACCATGTATGAGCAAACACATGGCAGAAAGGCGCTTTCTGGAACATTTCATGGTGCGCCACACTGGGAATGAGGCTTTTCATACTGTTCAAATTATTTTATTTTTGTGTCTACGTCAACTGCCTGTCAGGTGTTGTATATTTCTAAGACAATGTTTCATTAATTAGGACCATTGTCTTAGCCGGGATGATGGCCCCGTTCCAGTTGACCTCGGTGACTGTCTTTCTCGGCAAACTCATACAGCTGACGGTGTAGTACCGGCCGGCTTCCTTGACGATGGCGTTGATGTACGGTATCTTCTCCTCGACGAAGGAGGCTGTCCAGGCATCACGTATGTCTGGGAATTGGCGCCTTATGTCCTTATACGCGCGGTCCTGCCGAACCTGGCCCTCAGGCGTGCACAGAGAACCGATGCACGACGTTAGGTACCTGAGATAGTCTCAAAACCGCCTGATACGAGCGATAGGCAGATAGACGAGACTTCGACGCCTGCGAGCTTGCTTTCTATATCCTTAAGAATGGCCGCCGAGATGCAGGGCTTATCGACCTCATGTTTAATCATATCGCGGACCTTATCTAGCAGTAGGTTCAGGTAGGCGTCGCGGCGGTCACGTAGCTCCTGGGATCGTGCGTTCTTCTCGTTATTAGGTAGGTAGCGTAGCAAGGGCACATAGTCCTGTAGGTTTTCGGATGCGCTGCGTAGGAGCGAGATAGCGGAGCTGACCTGTATGATTTCGCATAGTAGCTCGTCGTAGACCTCGTCCATACGGATACCGTAGCAGAGCGTTAGGTTGGTGTTGAGCGCGTAGCGCTGGATATACGGCCGTACATCGATCTCGAGCTCGCCGTTGCGGCTATCGCCCTTTATGTCACGTACGATACAGAAGCTCTCAAGGTCAAACATAGGGAAGTAGCTGCGTAGCGCCGCCCGGCCCAGCGCCGTGCCGGCCGCTTTGCGTTTCTTCTTGCAAGACTCGTCCCAGGGAGATGAGCCGATGGTAAAACCCTGGGTGCTGCTGATGACGCCATGGAAGGTGTATAGTTTGGGTCGGTCGATGACAGCACTCTGGTTGCCTAGGAGCATCTTCTTGCAGTCGTCAAACGAGTTGACCACCACGGCCCGGGTGTTGCCTAGCTTAATCTGGAAAACGGTCTGGTTATACTGGCGCCACCATTTCTCGCACATGGTGGCGTGGTCATCGCCGAGCTTCAACAGATGGCCAAGACGGGGACCGCCCCTGGGATCTCCGGCAGCCCCTTGATATAAGGGATGTCGGTTGCAAAGGCGACCTATCGTATGTCAGTCATCCTGTCATGCTCGGCTATCATAGTCTGTCTTACATTATATATGACATAGGAAACCAGAACTACGCCGAGAGGAACCAGCACAGGCAGTGTATTCTGGTGCCCCATAAGCTGGGTCTAGCGATAGCTCATCGTGCTGAGAACCTCTTGGGCATTGGTATCCATGGTGGGCGTTCTCTGAGTGAGCTAGAAGCTAGAATGCGGCAAGGTACAATAGAGCACAAGTTGAAGTTTTGTCCCAGGACTGGGCAATGCTCTGTGATGTCTCTATTTCCTTTGTACAGGCCCTCTAATACCCTCCCTCGAGTGGGTGGAGGAGTATTTGAGGTGCCTGCTCTGCACTGTCGGCTAGGCCGACAATGGCTATACACTGACCCGAGTGGGTTGACACAGATACAATTTTCGCCCCAAGCGGGGTGAGATACGCTATGCGCCTTACAAAGACAATCTACATGTGTCGGCTAGATCAACATTGGCTTATCGCAAGCCGCTAGCATCCTCCTGTCTTGCCTCTGCGGAATGTAGATGGGAATAGTATGGCGTTATCACGGAGATAGAGCGCCTGTGACTGCGATCAAAGTTAGGTGTATGTATTTGTGTGACGCCCCCAACGTCTTGCTAATCGGGTTACCATTGACCGTTTACATTGCAAAACGCTTCTGTTGTTTCGTCGCTCTGCAACACTTCATTTTATTCAACTGAATCATCATGGCACCATCCACAACAGCAGACCTCGTTGCTTCCTCACCCGCCCCGCCTACCAATTCAATGGACGGCGATGTCGACGCCCTGGCCTCCATGGCTCACAGAGGCAAAAGCCTCCCCGGCATCCCAAAGTTTAGCTCGCACGCTGAGACACGGCAATGGCAGCTCGAACACATGGCAGCAGCCTTCCGGGTCTTTGCTCGAGAGGGCTATGCCGAGGGTATCTCGGGCCACATCAGCGTGCGCGACCCCGAGTGGCCCGACTCCTTCTGGATTAACCCGCTCGGCGTGCACTTTGGCCTTCTGAAGGCCAGCGACATGGTCTGCGTCGATATCTACGGCGAGGTCGTCGGTGGCAACACAGCCGGGTCTATCAACGCGGCTGGGTTCCAAATCCACAGCGCCGTGCACCGCGTGCGGCCCGACGTGCACGCCATCTGCCACACACACTCGGTGCACGGCCGGGCCTACTCGGCGTTTGCGCGGCCACTCGAGATGATCAACCAGGACGTGTGCTACTTCTACAACGCGCACTCGGTGTACTCGGACTACGGCGGTATTGCCAACGAGGCGTCGGAGGGTCAGAAGATCGCGGAGAGCCTGGGCGAGACCGGTAAGGCGGCCATCCTGATGAACCACGGCCTGCTGACGACGGGCTACACGGTGGATGAGGCGGCGTTCCTCTTCTGCTTGATGGAAAGGAGTTGCAAGGTGCAGCTGCTGGCTGACCACGCCGGCCACAAAAAGCACATTGTGAGCGATGAGGAGGCAGCTTATAACTTCAAGATGGCCAGCACTCCGGTATGTAGTCTGCTGACCCCTTCCTTGACCGATACCAGCCCTGGGTTAACATGGCACACAGGACACATTGTATGTAGAGTTCCAGCCGCACTACCAGTACGAGGAGGCATTATCCAACGGCAGCTTCAAGCAGTGAACAAATGCCACAACAAGATTAGGAGACAAATACAGGCATTCATAGCAAATGCACGGGTGGTTTGTTGTATGGCCATGTAACACTGAGCCTGGACGCTTTTGACGTAGAGAACCCGAGGGGATTCACTCACTCTCAAACCTTCACTGCTTTTTGGAAGATACACCTCACACAATGTGATCACAATATACTATTAGTCCCTACTCACTCGCACTTCCTTGCACTTCCTTGCACACCTGCTCCGTGTCTACCCGATATTAGATACGTAGATATCTCATCGTCCCTTCCATCTTTCATAGGCACCGTCTTTCGTCGGATGTGCAAGCGTAAAGCAAAAGTACGATGGTTGTGATCCGCGTCGGATACCCCGACCGCTGATATCTCGTGGCCCTGTCATGGCCAGTGCTGCGATAATCGATAAGCCATCTATGCCACAGGGGCGGACTAGCGTCCGACAGACGTCGCGTCACTTCACAACTCCACCCGATAGGGCGCCGATATGCTAATCACCCCTGGGAGCGTATCTCGATAGCTTGAGCTACAAATTAGTATCAGAAGAACCTACTGAAGTTGTGGCTAGGAGCTTGCGAAGGAGGGGCCGTTATCTAAATAAGCTCAGATTTACCGCAGGTAATACGAACAATCTCTTATCTCACACTGGTACAGTGAGGGATGTAGCGGGCAACGATGTTAGCCACCCCCGGTCGGCTCTGAGTGTCATTGTTCGACCCCCAGATTGGAGATTCCGGTACTACTAGACTTGGATCCTCCATTTAGCCGGGGTGTTTCCTCTTCCCAGCCCATATGATCCCTTTGGCATGCTGTGAGACTCAGTTCCACGACCAAAGCTCAACATCGACAACCGCGATAGCCCTTGGACACACCGTGTTAAGATGTCGGCCTCCAAGTATTCCGAGAAGGGCCCTCCATCGCCATCCATAGTCACGGAGCCTTCGTCCATAACCGACGATGGTGTTCAGCAGGGCACGTCTGTGAACATATCCTCAGGGTCGCAGCATCTGCACCGCAAGCTGAGAGGATCGGAAGTCCAGCTTTTCGCTATTGGGGGAGCCATTGGTACCTGTAAGTCGACAAAATCTTCTGCTTTACAACGGCAGTACGGAAGGCTGACAACCTTAAAGCTCTCTATGTGCAGATGGGTTCGGCTCTCCCTAAAGGCGGCCCCGCGGGTCTCTTCATCGCCTTCTTCATCTGGGGCTCCGTCATGTGGGCCGTCAACGAGTGCTTCGCCGAAATGGTGACTTACCTACCAGTACCCTCGCCCTTCATCCGCTTCGGTAGCGAATGGGTCGATAGCGCCCTCGGCTTCGCCATGGCCTGGAACTTCTTCCTCAACATGGCCTTCCTTGTGCCCTTTGAAATTGTCGCCATGAACATCATGATCACCTTCTGGACCGACAAAGTCCCCGTCGAGGCCATAATCGTCGCCATGATCGTTCTATATGCTGTCCTCAACGTGGCCACCGTGCGCTACTTCGGCATCTCCGAGTTCTACCTGTCCATCTCCAAGGTGTTTCTGATGCTGGGGCTGTTCTGCTTCACCTTCATTACTATGCTTGGCGGTAACCCCCTGCATGACCGCTACGGCTTCCGGTATTGGAATCACCCGGGCGCCTTTGTCGAGCACATCGTGTCCGGAGGGACAGGCAAATTCCTAGGCGTCCTATCCTGCGTCTATCAAGCCAGCTTTTCGTAAGTGTTGCCACCTACAGCCACGCCCCCTGCTCCTTCCAGTATGACTTTGTGCGTTGGAACTGACCGTATCCAAAAACAGAATATGCGGCCCAGAGTACATCTCCATGGTGGCTGCCGAGACCGAGAACCCCCGCAAGATCTTGCCCCCTGCCTTTCGGTCCTTTGTCTGGCGAATCCTTCTCTTCTTCGTGGGATCTGCCCTTTGTATGGGTATTGTCATCCCATACAACGACACCACCCTCCAGGGTATTCTCGGTGGTGCACTCACCGGATCAGGCACCGGTGCTGCATCGTAAGTCTTCTCAACAACGTTTGGTAATTCCCCATAATCACATGTCTTAACAATGCATTGCACACAGGCCCTACGTCATCGCAATGGACCGGCTCAAAATTAGCGGCCTGCCTTCCCTCGTCAACGCACTCATCATGACGTCCATATTCAGCTCTGGCAACGGCATCCTATTCTCGGCAACCCGCACCCTGCACGGCATGTCCCTCGAGGGCCACGCCCCGCGGTTCTTCTCGTGGTGCACCAAGGCCGGCGTCCCGCTCTGGGCCCTGCTCTTCTCGCTCAGTTTCTGCCTGCTCGCTTTCATGCAGGTCAGCAGCTCATCGGCCAATGTTATGAACTACCTTGTCGACCTCGTCACCTGCTGCCAGCTTATCAACTACCTCTGCACGGCCGCAACTTATAGGCACTTCTTCTCGTCTCTCAAGCGCCAGGGTATCTCCCGCGACACCCTGCCCTACAAGGGCCGCTTTCAGCCGTACACGTCCTACTTCGCCATGGGCGGCACGCTATTCATGCTGCTGGCCGGCGGCTACGACCTTTTCATCACCGGCGGCTGGGACGTCATGTGGTTCTGCCTCGACTACGGCATGATCGGTTTCTTCATTGTGCTTTTTCTGTTCTGGAAGCTCGTCTTCCGTAGCCGCTACGTGTGGCCGGGCACCGCGGACCTAAGCCTCGGCGGGATAAAGGAGGAGATCGACAATTACGAGTCTGCACTCGTCCCGCGCGAGCTGGGATTGGTGGATAATGTGATCGGGAAGATTTTCGAATGAGGCAGTGGTTGGCCATGTGTATAGGGGACGACGGATCGGACCACTACGATAAAACTAATTTCTGGCTCACGGCTCTAATTTCCGCCTTTATAATTATGGTCTCGGGCCCGTATGAAATGCGTCTATCAATCAATCTTCAACCTCTTAAAGGGTAGAATTACCTCTGTCTTTAATGGTAGCACCACTATTGAGAGTATCCGCTCCTAATTGAAACACATACACTACCATTGTACACCTACCTACCGCACGATATTGAGGGAGAAAAGCCGATGAGTTTTGGCAATTACTTGTTTCGTTTCCATGTGTTCGTTCTATAGCGTATATCCAGCATCAATGATTATGTTTGCCCCAGTCATACTCTTTGACGTCGCCAGACTAAGAACCTGGGCGGCAACATCCTGAGGGGGTGCCAATAAGTTAACACACCGCTGAAGTGACAGAATAGTGACAGAATCGGTTCAGGTTCAAACAGCTTACCTCAACCGCGACAAACCTCTTCAACTTAGTTTTTTGCCTGTGGGTTTCCTTCTGCTCTTCACTAAACCGCTCTGCCCATTCCTAGTGATCACAAGATTAACCCCAATCCCTATGTCTCATGGTAGATAGACAGGGAAATCCTCACCGTTTGAAGCAGCCCAGGCGACACGCTATTCACCCGGATCTTGGGCGCAACCATGGTGGCGAGGCCCCTGATCATGTGTAGCTGTGCAGCCTTCGTAGCTGAATAAGCCTGAATGACAACACGCTATTAATTTCTCGAGAGCTCGCACAATTCTCGTCGTGGTAATCCGACACCGAACTACCTGGGGGTCAATAAAACGTACCAACGAGCTCCCCATACCCTGTACGCCCGCAATAGAAGAGGTCGTGATGAATGCCCCCTCCGTCTCCTCAAGGTGCGGCCGCGCCGCCTGCATCAGCCAGAGGTGTGACTTGACGTTCATGGCAAAGGCGCGGTCCCAGTCCGCCTCGACGGCATTGTCGTCGAGCGACGTCGTGACGCTGAAGCGCGTCCAGCCACCGTTGGAGAAGACGACGTCCAGGCGACCCATCTGCGCGTGGGCCTCGCGCACGAGGCGCTCGACGTCGTTCCGCGAGCCCAGGTCCGCCTGGATCGCGACGTGGCCACCGCTGCCGAGCCCGGCGCACAGAGCCTCGGCGCGCTGGGAGTTCGTGGCGTAGTTGACCACTACGTGGTATCCGTGCTGTGCGAACAGACGGGCGGTCGCGGCGCCCAGGCCTGCGCTACCGGCTGTGACGAGAAGCACGGGAGTCGGGGAGGACGCCATTACTTCGACAATGCACACGGGGTAGATGGAGTCGTGGTGAATATGAGGTCTCTCTTGTACTTGGAGCACCGATTACTTCCCAGTAAATGCACTGCTAGTGTCTGTCGCCGTTGTCATCATCGGGCAGGCTTAAACATGAACCAGGACACAATGTATCCCGCTCAGTCAACCCGAACCCCTAGCTCGGGTCGGGTTGTCCGAGATTGGTAGATTTAGCCCTCTCCATAGCTTGTCGAAGCTATCTTAGTGCCAGCGGGGGGCTGATAAGCACAAAGGCTATCGATATCACTGTCGGGCCCCCCGCCACGCATCGCTAATGGAAGACGGGGAAAGCCAAATGCTGATTTTAGAGGTCGTCTAAATGGTTGTGGTTAGACCAAGAAGTGGACCCTTTTCAGGGAGCGCTGCAGTCGGCTCTCGCTTACCAGAGCTGTTATCTAACAAGGTACAGGTGGTGGTTCACTACATATTATACTCCTTCCAAGTCAAGAGGTTGAGTCGGATAGCAAACACAGGTCTATCAAACCTCTAATATTATAATCTCCGCCCGCTACTTGCCGCCATTAAGATTTATCAATCAACAGATGCATAAAGTTTCGCCGATATAGTGTGAGAAACTATTCCAGATGCCATCATTGTCGGTCATCGCCGTGGTGTTGGCGTCGGTCCTCTTCCTCATCAAATATCTACTCCTCGATCCCCTCTTTCTGAATCCTCTGAGCCGCGTGCCCGGGCCCAAGGCGTTCGCCCTGACAAAATGGCGACTGGCATACGAGGACTGGAAGGGCGCGCGCACCTGCACTATCCACCAGCTGCACCAGAGATATGGCCCCGTCGTCCGCATCGGCCCGGACGAGGTCTCGTTCAACAGTTTGGGGGCGCTGCGGACCATCTACGGGCCCGGTAGTAAGTACGGTCGAACGGGCTTCTACCGCATGTTTGACGTGTATGGCCGCCAGAACCTATTCACCTTTCACTCGGCTGCGGAACACGGCCAAAGGAAAAAGCTCCTCTCCCATGCCTATTCCAAATCCACTATACTTAAGGAGCCCTCTGCCAGTATAGTCGAAGACAAGGCGCGGAAATACATGGCCCTCATCGACGCGGAGCCGGGGCACGTGAGTGAGATCTTCAGCACACTGCACTACTACTCCCTCGACAACATCACCGAGTTCCTGTACGGCAGGTACGGGTCCACGTCTGCCCTAGAAGGCTCGGAACCACACCGGGCTCTGATTAGCGACATCTTGGATCCGTCTCGGCGTAAGCTTTCGTGGTTCACTGTGCACTTGAATACAGTGACAAAGTGGCTTTATTCGCGCACGAAAATAATGGAGACCGTGATCCAGCCGCTGCTGCCCATGCAGAAGCCCGCTACATACACCGGCATCCGAGAGTTTGCGCTGCAGGCGTATATGAGCTTCCGTTCGGATATGGAAACGTCCGCGAAGGAGGGTGGTCGGCCCTTGGACGAAGCCAAGGGCTCCTCTATCCTCGAGCGCCTCTGGGTGTACCACCAGACCCGCAAGATAGAGGGTCTGGATGGCTTGGAGATCGCCTCGGAGTGCGCAGACCATTTCCTGGCCGGCATCGACACGACCAGCGACACGCTCACGTTCCTGATATGGTCCCTCTCCCAGCCCAGAAACACGGCCTTCCAGAAGAAGCTGAGGCGGGAAGTCCTCGGACTGTTCGGGGAGTCACTCAACGGCCACGGCCTCCCCACCGCCGAGGCGAGCAACAAGTGCATCTACCTGAACGCCGTCATCAAGGAGACGCTAAGGCTCTATGCCCCCTTGCCAACCTTTGAGCCGAGATCGACCGCCACAGATACCGTCATTGACGGGTACAATATCCCGGCGGATGTTACCGTGGGCATGTCTCCATTCACTCTCCACCGCAACCCCGAGGTTTTCAAAGATCCTCGTACTTTCGACCCCGATCGCTGGCTGGGGCCACAGGCGGCCGAGATGAACCGCTGGTTCTGGGCCTTTTCGAGCGGTGGCAGGATGTGCATTGGTTTACAGTCCGTTATTTCCTCCCCTGGTTTCTCTTTTGGAAGCAAACACTTTGTGTAGTGGGTGTGCGAAACGCTGATTCACTTTCCAACAGCTTGGCAATGGCCGAAATGACGACGCTCGTAGCAACTATATACCGCAAGTACAGCACAACGATTGCGCCGGGGTTTGAAGATATCACGCCGGGGATCACCGCTCGATTCGAGGTCTTTTATGACGATAGATTTCCCAAGATGCTGGTATGTTCACTGTTCACTTCATCCTGACTTGCACAACCCGGACATGACGCGTGTTTAACACTAACGCCCCTGCAGGAGCATACTTGCCTCATCAAGTTTGAGGAGCGTTGGGGTAATGCTTGAGGTAGCGAAGGCGCTCTAGGTAGTACTGCCATAAGAACAGAGATATGTGCCCATGCCCTGTATATATCATATACTAAGAGAGATATCCTTGGACTTTTGGCTCCGTATAGTTGATAGCTAGGTTGTACCGTACAATCGGTGCCATCCCGGAGTAACCTGCAGGCAGGGAGACGTAAAAAGAAAAAGGCTCTATAGCCCGTCTGCTCGCCTTGTTGGTTTCTGTCAACTTGGTGGCAACCACAAGACACCATGACTAGACAGTTCAAGACCTGAGCCGAAGTCAGGCGGGTGCCGAAGAGACATATGTAGCAAATAAACTCGTTTACGGGTATTGATATTACATGTACTAATCCCACCTCTCGAGCTGTCCCGCGGCGGTTGGAGGAATGAAGAGCACGAAGATGAGATAGACCTACGGGATATATTCTGCACCATCTACATCCTCGTCTCATATGACCGCGCATGTAGTGATGTGGTTTTAAGATTGAATCAACCATATACAAATGAACAAATGCTACCAGAGCATGCAATCCGCTTACCAACTAATGAAGTGACGTGCTTCCTACACTTACCTCCGCTTTTTACTATATTTGCGACCTTCAACGGCCCTAGGTTGAGCTGCAGATCTACGGCCGGAACTTTAATGGTTCGAAACTCGCGAAGGTTGTTTAAAGAAGCCGCCACGGTTAGCCATGCATGTCTCATAAAGAGAAGCGATAACACTAATGTTGCAACAATATATGATAACATCTAAACGTATCAAATATGCTGCCTGGCTTTAACAGGGATAGAAGACATGTTATCGCTGGGAATCACATCACCAGACCTTCGATCCTCATAAGATACCTTCACCTCATTAACTTGATAGATGCGAGTTGAGTGAGGAGGTGGATGCTGCAGAATATGTCTCGTATCTGTATCCTCTCCGTGCCCTTCATTCCTCCCACTACATCTGGACTCGGTGTCAATATCTTTGCCATGCACGGTAGTCGTTATCACTGTATCCATGGCAAAGGTTGGTTTTGCGCTGCGTCTACCGCTGCGTCCACCGCTGCCTTTTGCGTAGGGAGGGAGGTCGTTATAGTTTGAGGCGTCGTTGGATGAGAGGTTACCGCGGATGGAGCGATAGAGAGGGCGAAGGGCGGGAATGCTGACACAAACGATGGTGGTGGTAAGTTCAGACATGGTCCACATCACCGAATCGGTTGTTGCATCTATTCTGCGATTAGCTTCCTCTGAAAATAGATAATGGATTCGAACGCACAGAGATAGTCGGTTGATTGAGTTAAAGCGTCGAGGCCGGTCGTTCGGATTACACCACAAATTCCGGCGCTATGATAACGTGTCAGTATGATAGCAGGGAAAAGTCATGATTCAGTAACTGAGGAGTTAAGAAGAACTAACAATATACCTAGACTCAATGAGAGGCAAATGGTGTATTTCTCCTTTCTCTTCATGTTCAAATTCCACAGGGCCACCCATGGAAAGAGAGCGAGAACAAAGTCAAGGACGGCGGACCATGCTAGATATACGTTAGACAAACTGAAGGGATAGGTCATGCATGGAAGGAGAAAAGCAAAGCATACCGCACATAACTGTGGCCATGATCGTGAGATTTAAAGAACAGCCATTACTCGGAACACGCGAGTCCCAGATCGATTGAACTGGTGTACATTGTGCAAAAACAGTAATAGCCAGGAGGATGCTAAGAGCCATGATGCTAATATTCCAAAACCAGAGGAAGAGCTTGTGCCTACCGCTAGTTAGGCAAGGCTCTTAGTTCAGTTTGTTGGATAAGGAGCATACCATTTTTTGACAACGATCCGCATTAAGAAAACAGCGACAGCGCACTTACTCAACCCCATTGAAATCGCTATAACACTTTGCCCAACCAAGAGCAGTAACATTCCCTGGGTAGTATCCTCGATGCCAAGTTCACCTGCATGCACACCCATACCGTGATGTGCGGATGCTGTACAGAGGGCTGCAAATGCCACCATCAACACCTACAATTCGATATAGCAAGTTAACAAAGCACAAATGTTATGGATATCGCAGGAAGTCACATACCCAAGTGACAATAAGCAGAAAGTCATCCCAACCAGTACTACGGCGGATCACAGTCCGTGTATAAATTCGCAGGCCAAGCACAATCATACACAAGATTGTTTCAAACCAAAGTACTCCAACCAACGCTGGACCCTTACCACGGAGAGTCATGTTGGATGTGGAGTCGAGATTCAGGTATCAAAGACAAGGGCATCTCACCATTGCCTCTTATACTCGTTTAATATATGTTGTATTCAAGCCCTAGAAGAAAGAACTGTAGTACGAAAATAATAGGGGCTGGGCTAACGATCCTGAAGTATGATCTGTTTGACAGCGATGATCACAGTCCACTTCCAGCTAGGCCTAACGGCTGAACATACCCTCGGGGGGGCTTAAGGCATGAAAAGAAAAAAAAAAGAAAAACCTGTCGCCCAGTGAGGTTAACACAGTAATCGCTTCCAGTGAATTTGTAGGAAGTCATCACTGGTTAACCATAGTGGTAGGGGTAACTGACTCGATTTTAACTACATCGTACCGGTTCGCACAGATGGTGCTTTCACCCCTTAGTTTCTCTATTTAATCTTCTATTTCTTCTAGTTCTATGCATTTCGACGCCTTCATCGATGTTTTGCCGTCAACATCTCATCCTCGTCATATTATTATGTATTGCTATGATGTAATGGAAACTTGAAGTTCTGCTGAATATAGAGTAATCCTGCTCTGAAGCACGTCTACATTAGTGACAAGGGTGGAAATTAAACGATATATCACAGTACCATTGTTGACCATGGAGTATGTATATATCTATCCTGACGCTTGACTAGAATTTGAGGCTTGCGATTGGTTCGCTTCCAGCGGAATTATCGTGCTACTGCTAGTCTCATAGTGGCCTGGGGCTTGGGGTCACTCACGAGGTGCCATTTCTGGCGTTTTGGGTACAGGTATGAGCTAGTCCTGCACTGAAATAGTGGACCAGGCCACCGTATCCACATGTGTCTTTGTCGGAAAGACTCCGAGTCATTGACAACAGCTAGGGTATACTTCTTGGTACTTGCTGATCTGATAAGGAAAGGGAAGCTTGAAAATCAGACCAATACGAGGAGGCATGTCGAACGAAAATAAAATTAAAGTGGAGAGTCAGTTAACAAATCAGAGATCAAGTCAGGCCGTCTCCAACAACGTCTCGGTCTGACCCTGGCCTGATCGACAACGCCAACCGCCTTGGCTAAGCCACAAATCGTCCGAAACGTTAGGCAGGATGGGCTCCACTGGGAGGAATGCCCAGGGCCCACGCATACGGAGTAGGTCTCATACCTTTTCGTACCAAAAAAAAGTACGTTCGGGTGGAATGATTTGTCCATATTAGAAAATGGTGTGGCGAATGACTATGTTGTGGGTGCTGAATTAAAATTATGTAGCTATATCAGTCACAGAAACTTCAACATGCGAACAGAAAACAGTAGAATCCACGTAATATTCATCTCAATTTACGCATCGGTCCTGAAATTAGACCATTCATTTGTTCAGACTGTGCCTTGCGAGTTGGTATCGTCAACATCAAGCGCATCCTGAAGCTCCATCTCGACTTTGTCGCCGAACTTGCCATTGATCTCCTCAAGACTTAGCCCCATAGTCTACCAAAAAAGAACTTATTAGATGGAAGTATCACGGTGCATAGGCAGAAATTAAAACATACCTCAGAGAAATAGAACATGATAATAATAGTACTTGCAACGGTGACAGCAACAAATACCATATAGAACTTCCATCCGATATTGGTAAGAGCCAGAGTAACAGGCGCACTGTATGCAACAGCATTGCCAAAGAAACTGACCAATGCAATGGTCGCTCCCTCGCTGCGCAGGTGTGTCGGCCAAATTTCAGAACCATAAACATATGCGGTACATTCAATGGTGGAGGTGAAGAAGGCACCGAAGATGAAATATATCGCCACGGCACCGTTGATGCCAGGTGTGTAGGTAGTGTTGAGGTAGAACTTTTCGAGAGCTGCCATGACACTGATAATAGCAGCAGAGCCAAATCCACCGATCACTGAGGATGTTGTGATTAGTATAAAAGAACGCATACAATCCAATTGGAAAAGAATCCCAAACTCACCCAACAGCTTCACTCGTCCAACCCTATCCAGAAGGAAAACATTAATTCCACAACCAATCACCGCACATACTGTCCAGGCAACGCCAAGTCCAAGTTGCATCGTGGTACCAAAGCCAAGGGCGCCCATTAGTGTGGGGATCAAATTTGCGATGGCAGTGATACCAGTTCCCTGACCCATAGTCCACAATAGAATAGAGCAGAGAGCGCGCTTGCGATGAGACGCGGTGCGCATAATATAGAGATAACCGCTGGGGGTATTTTTCTCTGCGTCGACCTGAGCCTTAATCTGGACCGCTTCAGCATGAGCAAAAGCAGCTCTAGGGTCTCGCTTGGTACGATGCAGGTACTCCAATACTTGTTTAGCCTCCTCATCGCGTCCCTGTTGCATGAGCCATCGAGGAGACTCGGGAATAAAGTAAAGTGTCATCAAGTAGATAACACCAACAGCAGTCAGAACCATAAAGATAAACCGCCACTGCATTTGAGTAGTCACGAAACTGAAGGCCAGCGCGCAAACAGCAGCCAGAATATATGCCACCACCGTACCCACGCCGTGCAGACCAACCAGCATCCCCCGTGTGTGTGGAGGGGAGATTTCACTCATATACACAGGAGTATTCGAGAATACCATACCCGCGCCGACGCCGCAGATGACACGCGCAACGATAAACATGGTAGCATCGACCGCCCCGGCCTGCAAAGCACCTGAGATAATGACAATGAGGGCGGCAACAGCATTGGCAATTCGTCGGCCGGACTTGTTGGATAAAGGTGCCTGCAGGATAGCCCCAACTAGGGCACCTCCGAGGAAACTGAAGAATACTTTTAGCTGAAGATGTTTTTGCCTGGATCAAAGGTGAAAATACCCTCCAAGCATACCATCTTGTCGGGACGTTGCATCAGGCGTCGACAAAAACTTTGCGATGAAGGTTGTTTGTGAGAGAGAGCCAGAGAGGGCGTTGGCCGAGAAGCCATACACGAATCCTCCTAGACATGCAGTAGAAACAACCTTTCAAGTCAGCTCAAACGTTCAAGCAGAGAGAGCTGGCAAAAGGTACCAAGATATTGACAAGACTGGTCTCTGGTGTATCAACCCCCTTGACACTTTGCGCGCGTGTGATAGACCGGCTTTTCTCAGGATCCTGAGTTGAACTTCGAGATTCACTCATTTTGGCTGTTGGAGTACGACTGACAAGGAGGAACGAGGCAAAAAGGAGAGGCCTGCAAATGAAAACTGAAGGGGACTCAGGAGATTTCCATCGTCCCAGAAACCGCCCCTCTCCAAGTGTTCGCAAATATTGTGGCTGTCACGCTACCTTCGCAGCTGTTCTGCTTAATGCTGCGGCATACTTGACGAAAAGTGGGTCCCAAAGGACAGTTTCCTAAAGTAGGCTGGACCGAGTTCTAGACACTCCATCTATGCTAAAGAGACACTAATGGCTGGCGTATATGGTAACTATGGCGAGGATTGAGATGATCTTGAAAGTATATTGTAAGTTTCACTACTCCGTACGGAGTACATAGCTGGCCTGCCTTTGGGGGCGGAAATATGTGTCGTTATCCATGCCGAGATCGGCATCTAGATCTACTAAGAGAGAGAAGTAGGGCGGCAGAAGAAACCTTGGAAATATCATAGCTGCATGTGTAAATCAAGTAAGCATGTACTTTGTTCTCCGTGCATGAATGACACTAATGCGGGCGACGAAGTGTGCCACGCGGGACTTTGATCGTATTGATCAATATGGATTTATTGCTTTTCCTCCACCTTAAATTCACATATGTTGTCGATTTCGTTGACGTACAATGTATATATATAATCTATCAACCGTTTTCTTTCTCTTCTAAAGGTATTGTATAATGATTGAGTATAGCTATAGGTGATACAATTATATAACTACTCGTAGTACCTTTACGCGTAGAGTTTACTCCCGGGGCGCCAAGGTCCCGGCGAGTCATTAGCTATAAAATAGGCCCGAGTAGTACCTATTTGGGGAGGTATTCTTTTGCCGGCAGTAATAGGCAGTAAAACCAAATCCTCTGGTGGCGTACTTTGTCGCCTACACTAGATACGTTTGATTGCGTTGTTCTCAAAGAAGAGGCATATAGGGCGATCATAGTCCGCTAGGGCTTGACAGCCCCGACACTAACTTGATATTGGCGTTGTTACCGAGACCGGGGCTTCGGAAGGTGGGTCAAACTCCACCACTAAACGTTATTGTGTCAATAACGGTAGTTTTCAGGGAATGGGGCAGGATATAGTCTATGCAGATGGTGCAAATTGAGAAAATATGAGACCGAATGACCCCAAGAACAGGGGGCAATGCCGATCTACAAATTCAAAGGATTATTAAATATAAAATCCTACCTAGCCATACTAAGCCGAAACAAAAATCAGTGCTTCGCCCCCCTGTTTTTCACATATCCATATTCATCCTGTCGTCTAGCCGATCATCTGCAAAATGAATGTCCCAGAAGCGCCTATCTTTCCACTCCTTGAAGGCAAGGTCGCCATCATTACAGGTGCCGCCCAGGGCATGGGCAAGGCTACCGCTTCTGTCTTTCTCCGAGCGGGGGCTAAGGTAGTCATTGCCGATGTGAAGGCAGAGCAGGGAGCTCACGTCGCAGAGGAGCTCTCTGATTTGGGAGAAGTCCGTTTTGTGGAGACCGACATCTCCAAGTCAGAGGATGTACAAAACCTCATTAAGCAGACAGTGAGCGCCTTTGGCAAGTTGGATGTGGCAATCAACAACGCAGCCATGTCTCCTGATCAGACTCCCCTGATTGACTTTGATGAATCATATTGGCGCAAATTGATGGATGTCAGTTTGACTGGTACCGCGCTGTGCTGTAAATACCAGATGCAGCAGATGGAAAAGCAGGGTTCAAAGGGCTCTATTGTCAATATTGCTTCAATCAATGCCTATTCACCACAACCGAATATGCCAGCATACACTGCGGCTAAGCATGCCTTGCTGGGCTTGACCAAACATGCGGCAACTGAAGGTGGCCCTAAGGGTATTCGGGTTAATGCCGTTGCGCCGGGAGCGATATTTGTATGTTTTCCCCGTCTTTAATCCAGAGAGGGTCTAATAAGAGCAGAGTGAAATGTCGGCCGCGGCGTTGGAGATTATGGGCACCACACATGATGAGTTTGCGCTTAAGGTTAGCAGCTTGAACAGATTTGGACAGGCGCATGAGGTAGCGCAGGGGTCACTTTGGCTTGCATCCGAGTGTTCATCATACATAAACGGAATTTGTCTGCCCATAGATGGAGGATTCCTGGCCAAATGGTAGTTAGCTTTGCGTTGCATCGTTATAGTACAATACATAGCTATTTATATATCCCAACGGGTCATTGATGTCATATGGCCAAATTGTGAAGTGTACAGCACGAAATGTTACAGAAAGGGAAGAGAGTTGTTAATTTGAGGAAGAGAAACACAAAAGTGGGATTCTGGCCTGAAGAATCAGGGAGCAATATTAACACAAACCCCACGTAACCGCGGGGTCAACGATACCTACTAAGGATGCACTTAGTCTCTTTCTGGGGTTCCTTTTTCTAATTTAATTTCGATATCCGCTTCGGCCAGCTACTGATCATGGACATTGAGACCTAGTCGCTTTGGATGACTGCAAAAGCCAAACTGGACAAGGTTGACCAGAAGCTTCTCGACTTTGACAGCGACGATGGTATCAAGAGAACTCGACAAAACGAGCTTGATATATTGGAAAGTCTCGAGAAAACTACTCGGGAAGCATACGATACATGCATTCACAAGAGATGGCAGATCATCATCCCAGGAAAAGGAAAGAAAATTATCATTCGTGACCTTCTGAGCAAAGTCGCGCACTGGATCGAGCTATTCAAATCAGTGGGCGATCAGGTTGTACAGTATGACCCAGGCCATGCTGCCTTACCGTGGGCGGGAGCTCGATTTTTGTTGCAGATTGCTATCAATGATTTCAGCAAATTCGATTTCGTTGTACAGGGAGCTGAAAGAATTGCTAGAATGACGGCACGGTATAGAATCATCGAGCAGATTTACACTGAGAAAGGTTCAGCTGCCTCGGAGCAGCTCAAGGAGGCCGTTGTGAGGGTGTATAGCTCCATCCTCAAATACCTCGTTGAGGCCAAACGATATTTTGAACATAGAACAGGAGGTGAGCTTATATTGCCAATTTCGATTGTAGCCAGGGAAAGCTCACAATCTCTAGTGCGGCTTTTAAAAAGTGGGCTTCTTGGCCAGAATGATTTCCAGGAACTTTTGGAGAAAATGGAAGCAGACGAGAGATTGGTCGACCGGTGCGCAAGCTTAGTTCAAGGTGAGGGTAGGTATTTCGTTCACCTTGATTCGTTCGAGCTGCGTGGTTGATCACTATATCATAAGTGAACAACGATATTGCCTCTCATCTTGCGACCTTGTCATTAGGTAATGAGATGACTCAACCCACGAACTAAGATACCCACCACTGATGCTTCTGTAGAGATGGAGACCTTTCATTCACTGCGAGATACGCTCAGTCGGGTGGCACAGCCAATCTCACGGTTATCCTTCCACTTGAACAAGTTTGATGATCATTTGGACAGTAAGTTTCCTTGTTTAACCGATCATAGCAATCTAACCTCTCTTTTAGGTATACAGCGACGACAGATGTTGGACTGGTTGTCTACTCAGCCGTATCTTGACCATCACACCACGATCAAACTGAGAGTTCTGGATGGAACATGCCAATGGGTTCTGCAACATCCAAGTTTCACTGAATGGAAAAGTGAAAGCACCAACTCGCTGCTCTGGCTTCATGGTGCCCAGGGTGCTGGCAAAAGCTGCTTAGCATCGGTGGTCATTGATGATGGAATGAATGTCTCTAGTCAGATTGAAGACTTCGCTCACGCCTACTTTTATTGTTCACGCAACACTGCCGAGCCTCAACGTGGGGATACACAGAGTATTCTTGCTTGCATTGCACGTCAGCTTTCCAGCGCATCTTCGAACCAGCCCCTTAACCCGGCAACACTTTCTCTTTACAGGAAAGTACACCTGACAGATGGTTCTACGAGAGCTCCTAGTCTGTGGGAATGCCGTGATTTAATCGTTGATTTGACAGAAGCCCATTCCGGGACCACTATTGTGATAGATGCTCTGGATGAATGTGGTAGAGAGGAGCGAGCAGAACTTGTCGAGGCACTTGAGTATATCATCGACAACTCCGCTAGTCTTGTCAAGGTCTTTGTCACTTCGCGCGAAGAGGGCGACTTGAGGTTATCTATCCAGGCGCACTCTGGGGTTCAGGTGACGTGGATAGAGAATGGGTCCGATATCGAGAAATTTGTGAATTTTGAGACGGACAGGCTTGTTGCAAAGAACCAGCTACTTGCCTCTATCCGAGTCGAAGCGACAAAGGAGAATTTGAAGGCATTGATCAAGGAAGATACCATTTATAAGGCTAACGGGATGTGAGTTCGGATATTTTTGGGCTTTCGATTACAAAGGCTCACGAGGTTTAGGTTCCGTTGGGCCCAATTGCAGTTGCAGAGTCTTCGTTGGATTCGCACCGAGAGGGACATCAGATTTGCTATGTCGAAGATCCCGCGTCCACTCGGCGAGCTATACGAGGACCTCTACACAAAGGCACTCGAAAGCACCGAAGAAACAGATCGGGCTTTGTTCCGAAACACGCTGAAATGGATGTTGTGCGCGACGCGGGTTTTCGGTTGGGAAGACTTCTCCCTAACTATCACGGCCTTCGTGGATATTGAGGTATACGAGATTGATGAAGACTTCATCTTAGATCTTCTCAGCAATTTCGTGATCTCACAGACAACCCAAGACGGAAACAGGACCTTCCGTTTCGCCCATCTGTCAGTTCGAGAGTTTTTAGAGACAAAGCCCGAATACTCCACGGAATCTAGCAACACCTTTGCCGCCGAGGTATGTTTGCTGAAATTGCTCAAAGCTTCCGGGTCGCCCAGTGCAGAACAGTTTCTCGGCAAACTGGGCCTCAGTGATAGAGATACCGTAACTTTGTCAGAGATTGACTCTTACAAGAAAGGCATACATGACTACTCCTTGCGAAATTGGAATGTACACTGTCTGCGCGCAGGGGAAGCAAATCGATCAAACGAGGAATTACACATTTTTCATCTCTTGCGCTATTTTCTTTTTGATGACTCGGATTCGGACTGTCCACTGAAGTGTTGGGTACATTCTCGCCAACGCCGCAAAATGGAAGGCGTACGTGGATCGCACCTTCGGCAGCTATTAGAGAATTACCATCGATCCCGAGACCGGGGGGTTTTGCTTTCCTGTATCTTCGGCTTCGTTGAAGTTCTTCACACCAATCACTATCATGAGCTCGATGATGACGTTAAAGAAGCATGTATTCTGGCGGCCGTGATACATTCCCAGTATCATATCTGGGAGTATTTAATGGGAGAAACAAAGGACCGCTTACTGCAAAAGCGCATTTTGAACGTATTAGTCGAAAACCACCATATCGAGCCGCTCAAATTGTTCTTGGCTCTCATAGATCCTGACCTGATTACCGGATCGGTCATTTTGGGTGCTGACTGTGCAGACAAGGAAACAATTGAGATGTTGCTTGATCATAATAAAAATCTCCACATTACGACAGAGCTCATTGAAGAATCCAAGTTACCTTACACGGTCATTGAAGCAATTCTCAGCCGAGCCCCCGATATCATAATCACCTCTGAGATACTCAAGAATGCTATAGACGACATACCCATTGAGCACCTGAGAGAGATCCTTGACCAGAATGGTGGATCAATCATTACTTGTGAAGTTATCGCAACGGCTGCCTATTACGGTTCTAAAGACGGTATGCGAGCCAAAACGAAGCTTTTGCTGGAATACGCTGGACACATCAAAGGGACCGAGAGAGCTATGATGCAAGCCCTTAGCTCTCGCGAAAACTCTGAGGTGATTGAGATTCTTCTTAATCACGGTTGGCCGATAACAGAAAACATTATGGTGAAAGCTGCAACATGGGGAAAAGTCGCTCCTTTCGAGGTTATGGTTAACGCTGGTGGCCCAATTACATCCAAAGTTATCGCCGGTGGAGCACGAAATGTCAGTGATGGGGCTCGAATGGTCAGGCTCTTTGTATCCTTGATGAACCGACCGTTAGATGATGAACTATGGGTTCAAATGATGCTGCAATGCGCCCAGAATACATGGGGGAATCCCGAAACCCTTCAAGTGCTCCTTGAAATGAAACCTGGTCTGAAGGTTCCAGAAGAGATTTTGATTGCTTGCACTGAAAATTCCATCAAAGGGAACGTCATCCTGGATGTCATTCTGGGGGACAACCGGGAGATACAAGTTACCGATGCAGTGATCGTAAATGCATTAAATGAGCTGGACTACGACGAAACCATATCGAAACTTCTCGACCGACACAGCTCGACAAATATATCGAGCCAGATGCTACTTGGGGCTGCTCAGAACCGCCGATTCGCAGATGAAATGACAAAGCTTTTATTGCAGCGAACTGTAACGCTTGAACAGCCATCCTCGGTGGTTGTTGACGCAGTCATCCGTAATCAGTATTCGGGTTATGAAACACTACGGATGTTGGAGAGCCGTTTCGGACAGCTTGATCTCTGCGAGGCGAATGTGAAAACTGCGGCCGAGTCCGGCAATCACGCTATGCTGACCTTGGTATTGGACCGATGTTCAATTACCGAGGCCACACCATCTGTTCTGTTGGCCGCTGCGGCCAAGGGGAGTTTGGAGGTGATGAAGCATCTTTTGAAACTGAACAATGCTGTCGTTACCCAAGAGATTCTAATTGGAGCATCAGGAAATTCCGGTTGTAGCATTGACATGCTCAGGCTGCTTTGGAAGTTTGCCCCACACATCAAAGTGTGCCCCGAGATGTTTCTGGATGCTGCACATCCGACGGATGTTGAGTTTCTTTTTTCCAGGGTGAAAGATTCCCAATTGTGCCAGAATATTCTGAACGCAGTGTTGACAACAAAAAGGATACCAAACGATTGGCGTGATTGGGTATCTGTGCCTACACTAAATCTCATCCTCGAGAGCGAGTTTGAAATTGCAGTGACCGATGGACTTATAATCGATACCTTGAAAGCCTGCCGGGGATGGCTTTTGAAGACTTTGTTTGCCCATCTAAAAGATATTGAAGTATCACAGGTTATGGTAAACACAGCAGTTAACCTAGCAGTCGAGCTGGAGGACTATCGGCCCCTACAAGTATTAGTCAAGTATGGGAACTCGCATGAATTGAACCTGCATGTTGCAAGAGTTATGCTTGATAATTTGCTATGGGGTGTTAGCGAGGAGTGAGTATCTCCATCTTTGTCAGTTATTTGTTCAAGAACTTCAATACCAGCAGTATGCAATATCATGTCATTGGCCTGGGCCTACCACGAGGCCACTAAATGAGATTTGGCTTTGACATTTAGACCACGGCAGCATCAAGTGTAGGGTAAGCTTGGTGATATGTGGGTGTTCGTGCGGAACACCTTCAATCACCATGCGAAAATCATTAGTGGGATAGTCCGAGCTTTGGTTTCGTGGATCAGATGCTGCGCTTCATTTTTGCTTGGCCGTTTTAGCATACATAGAACACGGCACAGTTTATGCGCTAGTATCCACATATTCACGAGCGACACTTCTTTGTACAAAGTACTCCGTACGTCTACCAGCTATTAGTGTCGATCAATATGTACGGTGGACGAACTGTGCCACGCGGGATTTCGTATTAGTTAATAGTGATTTCAGATTTTTCCCTTCACTTTTCAAATTCACATTGTATGTGTAGACTAATGTAGACGATACATTATACTACTACCTACATAGAGCTAACGTCCGAGGCCCGGCACATAAGTCCTTAGCTATGGAATGCGGGTGAATAGTACCTAGATAATCTTTTGCCTGTAGTAACAGCCAATAGGGCTAAAATCCCTGGCACACTTCGTGACCCGTGCATGTGGGCCATAGAATGGTTGCATAACAATACATCGTACTTCGTACACTAGTACTCCGTACTAAGTCGGGGATTAATCTTTCATTTCCGTCGAGCTTGTGGATAGGCCAAGAAAATGGCTGGCCCGTTTCATTAAGACCGGAGCCAGACGCCCCGGCATCTTACATAAATAAAGGTATCCGGTTTGCCTTCGTCTTAACTCAGGTCCGATCAAGAAATTCGCTCAATCATATGTCTGTCAATATGGGTAGATATCAAGGCACATTCCCTCGCATATACGAGCACAAGCTGGCTCTAGTAACGGGATCCGCACGGAGTAAGTCCGACATTGGCCCCTCAGATACTCCACACTCATTGTCCTCCAGGTATCGGAGCTGCTATAGTCCAAAATCTGGCCAGCAAAGGCTGCAATGTGATCATCAACTATGCAACCGAGGCCTCCGACGAATCCGCGCTAGCACTTGCCGCCAATCTCGAAAACGAATACTCAGTGCGCGCATTGCCCATCCGAGCAGACATTACCTCACGGGAGGAATGCGCACGAATCGTGTCAACTGCAAAGGACCATTTCACAGACTCGCAAACAGGATCCTTCCAAATCGACATTATGGTTCACAATGCCGCGGTGCTATACGTCGGCCCGCTGGAATCAGTCAAGGAATCCGAGTTCCATCGAATATATGAAGTAAACGTCCTTGGACCGCTGTTACTCACTGGTGCTTGCAAGGAGTATCTTCCCACCGATCGCTCGGGGCGTATTGTGATGCTATCGAGTATTGCGGGGACAACTGGGCCAGAGAACACTTCACTTTATTCGGGAACTAAGGGTGCCGTTGAGGCTATGACACGTGTGTGGTGCCGTGAGCTAGCTGAGAGAGCAACTGTCAACTCGATCAATCCTGGTCCTGTTATGACGGATATGTATATGTCGGCCTCTGATGCCGTTAAGGAGTCGCTTGCGTTGTGGAATCCTATCACACCGTTGGTGGCTGTCCGAGAGACTGATAGCCCGGAGGTGAAGGAGCTGGGGAAGAAGTTTGGAGGGAGAGCGGCGTATGCCGAGGAGATTGCTGGGTTGGTTGCGACGATCTGTAATGCAGAGTTTGGGTGGTGTACTGGGAGCGTGATTTCTGCAAATGGAGGGTCGTCCTTTAGTACCTAAGAAGAGCCAGTTCTTTTAATATTAGCTTCATCAGCTTATTGTACTTATATATTCCATAGCATCCGAAGCCTAGTATATGTAGTTTGATGCGTTGTGAAACAATTGATTAGACCCCCTATTTTACATCGCGGCATAGTCCGATAACAATTATATACCTCAGGCATTTATTATCGCCTAAGGCAGAAAATCACACCAGAATCATGCTAAAAGACAAACACACAATGCAAGGATTTCAAGCTTGTGTCAATAGTCCTTTTTTTTTTTTTTTTTTTTTTTTGCGTGATTGTCTCTTCTCAAATTGAGGCTTCATCTGTAGATCCGTTAAGCTTCAAATGTTTAAGCTTGTTATTGGCCGAACTCAAACCCACCCCCTTCGCAAAAAGCCAAACAAACATTCCGACGTCTCGTCCATTGACCTTTCTATACTTTTCTATATTGGAGTTTCCGGGACACAGAGATATTAACAGTCGAGATCTAGAGAGTTTCAACTCTCAGGGGTACTGCAAACATGCCCAGTCCTCCATCCCACCCATATTACCCCCTTGACGCCAATGTTGTGGGTTATGAGCCCAACCGGACTCCAGTGTTGGAACTTCTCGTCTCTGCTGGTGGGGCGTGTACTATTCTTCTTAGTGTGACTTTTGCGTTGGCCAGCTATGTGAAACCGACACTGCGCATGGCGGATCGAATCGCCATCCTGTGGTTTGTGCTCTGTAAGACTCCAACCGAGAAAAGAGAAATATGGTTAAATATTGACAAAATGGGAATCTATAGCTGGAACTCTGCACTGCTTCTTCGAGGGTTACTTTATGGTCCACCATAACCATATGGCTTCTGCCCAAGACCTTTTTGGGCAACTATGGAAAGAATATGCTTTGTCGGATTCCCGGTATATGACCTCGGACACGTTGGTGCTATGTATGGAGACAATGACCGTGGTGAGTCCCACAACTATACAAAGTATACACTCGAGGATTCACCGCTGATTCCTGCTTCCTACTAAGCTCTTGTGGGGACCATTGTGCTTCGTTGTTGCATACTTGACCGCAATCAGGCATTCCCTGCGCCACCCAATCCAGGTAATTGTGTGCATGAGCCATCTGTACGGCGACACCCTGTATTATGCGACCAGTTTGTTTGACGACTATGTCCACGGCCGACCATATTCCCGACCGGAGCCATATTATTTTTGGGTGTATTACTTTTTGATGAACTTCATCTGGATTGTTGTCCCCGCGTGTATGTCCTGCAGTTTCCGGGATTCCCGTCATAAACTGACTTTTCTTTATAATAGACTATCTCTATCACAGCATGTCCACCATCTCGGCTGCACTCAAACGCCAGTCGGAAAAAGACAAGACTAAGTAACACCTCTTTCGTCATAGCTGGTATAGTGGGGTTGAGGCGTAGTGGAGCATTGGGCTAGAACTTGTGTACGGCAGATTTAAGAGGATTTGGTGAAGAGATGGGAGGGTCAGAAGGGGAGGGAAAGTAGTGTTGTATAGTATCTAAAATCATATGATAGCCCTACATGCTCAATAAATGAGGATTATATCCTATCAATTCATTCATATTCCAAAGATTTAATAGGATTAATAGGATTAATAGGATAAATAGGATAAATATCTACAACCACACTAAGTACCCTATGATGCTCATGCACAGGGGGCCACCTGACGCGCAACTCATTAATCATATTACCTGTGTCTCCCCAATGATTGCTTTCTTAATTTTAAGATCGAGGTCATCTTTAATACTCACCAGATCAAATCACGGAGGGTATTCTTTAATAAGAACTGCTTAAGGTTGTTTCGCGACTTGGTTTCCCGGCAACCAATTTAGTGCGGGAGGGGGAGGCGTATCGAACTTGTCAGCCCCAACCTCCAGGCCTAATTGTTTATGATCCCTGAAGGAATTTTCCGATCTCAAAAAGCAAATGCTCCAAATTTGTTAAGCATCTTTGGGGGTTTGGGTAAGTACAAATTACCGTCCCAGCCCAAGTCAACAAATCCCGTGTTTCGGTGTTTTGTTCGGGTACCTGCTTTGACACCAAAACCTCGAGAGAGCTCCCTACTAAATGTTGACTTCTTTTTCCTTCCTATAGGTACCGATGCCATCTCCTGCGACGACACAACGTCCCTCCAACCGTGGAGGAACTGCAAAATCCACAAAACCGCTGGACATCGGAGAACCGCTGGGGGTGCACGACACGAACACGGTGCGCTCTAGAGTGCGAAAATGGCAGCAACAAGGCGGCGGGGTTGTGACAGTGGATGATCCCTATGCCGATGACGAAAATGATGCGAAGCCGAAACCAAAACCTGCCAAGGTCAAGATAGAGAAGCTGGAGAAGGTAGAGAAACCGAACAAGGACAACCCCCCGACCACAAGGAAGCGCAGTCACAGCACACCCCGCAAACGTGTGGTGAGCGACGAGCATTGGAAGCGAACGCGAAATCGAGCCTCGACCCAATCCTCGTCGCGCAATCTACCTGCACCTAAGCGCATAGCCGAATATACCACAAACGAAGGGCAGCCTAGGTCTTCACGGGGAAAACACGACAATAGCGAAGATGAAGACGGGAAAGCTCGCGATCTTCCTCGATCTCAGACAAAGCGCGGCACTGGGGCGGGATCCAAATCTCCTATTCGAGACACCAAGTCCGCAGGTGCGCGACAAAATATCGATACCATCACGGAGAGCGACTATGGGACGGACCATCCCAAATCCGTCGAACCTTCGGAGCTCTCGGACAGACTTAGGACGCGCTCCCCTCCCCCGGAGGATGCGTGGGCGGCAAGCGAGGCGGATTTCTCCGAGCTGTCGAGAAGACGCAAGCGCGGCCCAGCAAAGCCTCCCAAAGGTGGTATATTCGCGCACATGATCGACGAATCCAGGAAAATGTTTGGGATCCCCGAACCCGAACCACCGAGACCTACACCTACGCCAACTACGGGCCGTGGAGCCAAAATCGAAGCATGGCTTTCCGACACACCAGACCCTTTTATGGATGAAGCCGGGTCTAAGAACGATATACCGGCTCCTCTGGATCTGAAATCAGGCCGAGCAAGACGATCTCAAAAGCTTGCAGACGGTGACCTACAAGCTAGTACCGAGTCTGAACCGTCAACGATCAGCGAGCGCCCGAAGAGCTCCGATCGCCCAAAGAGCGCTGTGAGTAAGAACTCCAAGGG